CCCCTGAAAAATTCCAAAAACCCCAAAATCCCAAAACCATAAAACAAAATAACAAATAACACGCAACAAATAACAAGTCACAACTCACAAGTCACAAGTAACAAGTATACCTCGCCATAAGTAGTAAGTGGGCAGTACTTATATATACCTATACAAGCAATTCAAGTTCAACCCCCATCACTCTATACTACAAAGGTAGGCATGTAAATGTAGGGATACAAAGGTAAGGATACAAATGTAAGGATACAAATGTAGGCATATAACGGTAGGGAGAGAGGGATATAAGAAGTTTAGAAGTTTAGAAGTTTAGAATTAAGTAGTCTATGGACTGTGGTTTTAGATTGTACTCGTAGGAGGAGGAGTATGAAAATGAAATGGTATACTATACTATCTATAACTTAGGTAGGTAGGTAGGTAAGGTAGGTAGGTAGGTAGGTACTTTCTTATTTAGTGATCTTATAATTATAATCACAAGGAAACAAGGAATAACAACACAAGGAAGCTAGATAAGCTATTATAATAAAGAACTTGAAATCTATCCATTGACCCGTCCATTGAACTATATTCATTGATTTACCAACCGCTCTTAACACTTATATTCACATTCACAACACTGGCACTAACTCACTCGCTGTCTATCTTATATTTCTTATTTCTTATTATATGCTAGCCCCCTTCAAAGCATAGCATAGCAATAATAAATATCAAAAGACCCTCATGGACTCTGACTCTGACCCTGACTCAGGCTCTGGCTCCTACCCACTCACACGCTTGCATTCTCGCTCTCTCGCTCGCTCTCCAAAAAAACAACAATCGCTCAATTTGATTTGCATTTGCAGTAGCATTTGATTTGATTTAACCTCAATCCTTCAACGGACCCCCCAAAACAAAAAAACACCCCCTCCGTGCATTCAGGTAAACCAACCAGCAAACCAATTCAATCCAATCCAATCAAAAACGGACAGCATGCATCCCAAATAAACCCCACGCATAGTCCCAACTTCCTAAACTCGTAAAAACCAAACCAAAAACCAGGCAAAACCGCAAAATGAACGCTCAGGAGAAAAGGAAAGTGAAGGAATCATTTCCTTCACATACTTCAGTTCAGCAAACCGTACCAAACCAAACCAAACCAAAAAGAACGCCTTGTTTGGGAAAATGAAAACTCCGTATGCGAAATAGTGTCCCAATCCAGTGATTATTGCTCCGTGGAATGAATCCCCTGCTGTCAAAGGGGAGAGACTGTGCTCAGCAGGATGAAAAAATCAATGTGTGTGTGTGGGTGTGTGGGTGTGTGGGAATTCAACGCCTGGTATTTGTATCATTCGTATGATCGCATCGTAAACGTAAGCAAGTGTAAGTGTGGCAGCAGTGCTCAGAAAGAAAATAAAGTATCGGTTCTTTGGGGTATTGAAAAAGAGCTCTGGTAATGTGGTGAAAGTAAGGAGGCGTAAAGGCAATGTCAATTCCGTGAGGATGGGCGGTGCAGTCATTGATATGTATTACCCCCAGGAATTGTGTATCCAGACCAGTCCTGGGTATGTTGTGTCGTAGATGTGGTATTGTTATTCCCACCAATACGTATATCAGGTAATGTATGCCTTTACTGAAGAAGCCTTTACTAACTCCTACCCAATCTCATGAATCGGGTTCGTAGCCACATCATCAGTTTGGTCCAGGCACTATGTGTCTTCTTTTTGGTGCTCTCCTTTCTTGCACGTCTTGGTGCATCTTCCAATCCTTCTGCCATGTATGGTGGGTTTTGACCATGGAAACTATTGTAATCCCGACCAAACATATTGCCCACCTTTTCATTGCCACCTGTGAGAGTCAGATCGGACTTGGATCTCTTTGATCGAGTGCCCTCACTTGCAGAAGATCGGCGATGTCTTCTCTCCATTTCTCTGGCCTCCTTTTGATTTCTTTTCTCCATAACACGTACTTCCTCTCTTGCAGCCTTTTCCTCCTTGGCTTGTTCCTTTTCTTGAAACTTCCGGCGTGCCTCTTGTATCGTTTCCTGGCGCATATGTGAATCGACCCCCGAATGGCTGCGTATGCGGAAGCCTTTATCAATCGAGGTCCGGAGGGACGAGGGCGACATGGTTTCAATAGGTGAGGAGTAATCCGGACTTAACGTAGATACGTTGTTTAGGGAGGTGGTTGAGGTTGCAAGTGCCAGTCGTGACGTCGATTGCTTAGTTTGCAAGCGGAGTAAAGGTTGGTGTGTGACGACAGGCGCGTTGCCGGTTAGTGAAGAGGATCGGTTTGAGGAGGAATTGCGTATCAGGGGAGGTCGACGGACGAGGTCTTCATCTTCAGTCAAGGTGGGACTGGAGTGTTCACTTTCACGTAATGAGTTTTGATATGACGCTGCGAGGGAGTGCGGGGGCGTGAATGGTCGTGGAGTTTGCTGAAAGGGATGCACGAAGGAACCGGTTCGATGACCGCTGGCTGTGGTTGCCGTCGAGAATTGGGAAGTCCCGCTGGTCGAGCGATTATGATAACCCCTCCTTCCGTTTGCAAACACGATATCGTGAGAGCTTCGCGGGCCCGTTCCATACGTGTATTCATACGGTCCTGCACCAATACTGAAGCTATCCTGCTCGGACACTGGTCGATCCAGATCCAACGAGTTCTTTTCACTCTGCGAGAACTTCTTCAGGATTGGTTTGACCTTTCGCGGCTTCGACGAGACGCCATGATAGCTTGACATCTTGCAGAGCGAGAGCAATGCAACGCAATGCAACCTCAATTCACAACCAGCTTATTCTTTCCCCTTTCAATGTACTCGTCGTACCATCCACCACCTCGACGGTTTTTCAAGTCGGTTGCAGGGCAGCAGCACGCGACCTTGCTGCAACAGGCCCCTTTGGAGGTCACCGGCGGGTCACCGCAAGATCATATACTGTTCATTACTGCCGGGAGAATAAAAGATGTTGGTTCTGGGAGGGTTGAGGATGCAAAGTCAAAGGCGGATGGTGAAGAGTTGTTGTTGAAGAAGGGAGGAGTGAGGTGTGAAGAATAGGGAGAGACGGTGAGATGTATGAGGGGGTATGGGCATGGGTTGGGGTGGGTTGGCACTGGCAGGCTCTGATGGATACGGATACCCCGTACTCCGTACAAAACAAAACAATAAAGTTTAGACCGACTGCGGCGCAGAGAAGCAGTTGGAGCGTGCGAGTGCGAACAAATACCAGTAGAAGACCAGCTGCCGAGAGAGCAGAGCCACAGTGTTTTGGTCGTCGTCGTTGTCGTCGTTGTTGTCGTCGTCGTTGTGGTCGTCGTCTTGGATACAGTATTCACTGCGGTTGACGTTTGCAGGAGTTGGCTCAGACGCTGCACAGCACAGCGTACTCGTAGCGTAGACGTAGCTTCACGTACGAATAGGTTTTGGTGAGGAATCGATTGATCGACGGGGTGGGTGGGCTGCACGAGTAGCCTGCAGTTGAATGGGGACTCAGGGAGGGGGAAAAGGGGGAATCTCGGGGAGAGCACTTGGAGGCACTGGGAGGGCGAGGACCCATCAACAAAGCTGGAACCAGCCTCAAGCATGCCAGAGGCGCAGACTGCGGAGCGACGCCGATGCAGCGGTCCAGCGATGGTGCAGCGGTGCTGAGGGAGACGACCGACGAGGATTGCATCTGAATGTCCAATTCCCTCGGCCAACGCTCACGTCCTCCTATCCTATCGCAACACCCGAATCGAGTTGGGAGGAAGTTGGCTGACTACTACTGACCACTACTTTGAGATACAGCCGAGACTTCCGACCCCTCGGGAGTCAGGATCTCCTGGATCCCTTCAAGTTCTTGTCAGCATCGCTCAGCGCCTCTCAGTGGTTCTCGATGGCTTCCACGCCCGAAGGACCCCCTCTCGATCTCCTTGGTCCCACCAAGCCCACTGAATGCGACCCCCAGAGTGGGAAGGCAAAGAACATAATCCCGGGATATCCGGAGATCATTTCATCATCATCAGACTCGTCGGGAAGGCAAAGCTGGGCTGCACTTTTTTCTCGTAGCCTCTTTGTTTCAAAGACAAGAGTGGGAGTATGAGCGTGAGTATGAGCGTGAGTATGAGCCTGAGCATGAGCCTGAGCATGAGCCTGAGTATGAGCCTGAGTATGAGCCTGAGTATGAGCATGGAGCGGGTTGGAAGAATCAGTACCGCTGTAGTCATGAATCCTTCCCTTCCCGCACTTGTACTTGGTACATCCGTGGCCAACTCGTACCAAAACATGGAACCAAACCCGTGGCCAGAACATGACCGACACAGCCAGAACACCAAAAACAACACAGACACCATGCTCGTCGGGCCCAAAACCTGTCACCTTCTCCTCGAACCAGGTTGATGGGAGTATGGCATCCCTTACCAATCCCATCCAGCCGCCACCGGTGGCACCACGAGTTGGGATGTTTCTGTTTCTACGGAGTACTAATTCTGCTTCTCTGGCGCCTTCGCTGCGCAGCATCCGAATCAGAATCGTGTCCAAGCCACAAGGTGACAAGCAGAAGGTTCGGTGGCCTCCCAGGAAAAAAGTCTGGGGTACCACCCGGCGCTCTTGTCGATCTTGCCCCCCCCCCCNCATCTGCTCAAACAAATCCTCAAATCCTCCACCACCCCCCACCCCTGCATCTTGTGTGCGTGAGTGAGTGTTTCTTGGAGCCTTAAAGATTGTTTCGTTTTAATTTGTTTCTTCTTTTTTCTTCCACTGCTCGACTCGAGAGGGATTCCTTGCATCTTTTGCTAGTAATTCTCCGAATCTTTAGAGGGTCTCCTGTCCGTATCTCGGCGGGTAGGATTCCAACATTGAAACTGAGTTCCCCCTCACGTGGCGTAAGCAGATACAGTACTCCACTGTGCTGCCCACCTACAGTACTTTCTAGGTAACCACCAACCAGCTGTGCGAACTGATATCGTACGGAAAAGAAAATCAATAAATAACGTTTCATTTGGCTTGCTACTTCCATTTATAAACCGAGATGTGGATTAGTCATTTCCGTTTCCATTATTTTACATTTCCTGATATTACTCTGCAAGTCCTGTAACATCTCGAGGAAGTCAGAGACTTTGAAGCTGGCCTTGAACCTTCCAAGTTTCCATCCGCCCTTCCATCCCTTCCATACGCGGTCCGAGAGCGAGGACTGGATTGGACCCACTGAAGAAGGTTAGGTTGTTTCTCTTTCTGTCCTGTCCTGAACTTCTGTAACTTCTGTTCGAGTCGCTCAGTTGACATCCACCATAAATACTTTGTTCAAAATATAGTATGGATACAGTCATTTCGTGGCAAGCGCAACGTAAAATGAAATGGGATATCCCCTTCCCTTACCTTATTAGAAGTAAAATCCACCACAGTCCACGATCACCTGCTTCTCTCGGAGACTTCTTTTTCTCGTCCCTTACCTTCTCCTTCTTTTTTGGTGGAAAGGTAGGGAGGGGAGGGACAAATAAGAAGATTTGAAGGGGGGGATCCTTACTCGGGTATTTACGAAGTTTGATTTTACTGTACGAGTGGGAGGGGAAGTTAAGAGGATTTACGGATGGATGTGGAGTGGAGTGGAGTGGAGTGGAAATTTACCTTTTTTTTTTCTCTCCTTTTTTTTCGGAGATCATTTTACTTTACATACGGAGGACGAAGTTACGGGGGACGAAGGATGATTCTAGAAGGTGGATTTTTTTGTTTTGTTTTGTTTTGTTTCGGGGGTTGATGAGTAGGGGTTTGAAGGTTCGGTGGGTTTTTGGAGGATAGGGTAGGTAGGTGAGTGAGTGGGGAACATTTGTGTTTGCGTTTGTGTTTGTGTTTGCGTTTGTGTTTGTGGTTTGTGGTTAGTATGAAGTAAACTTACTTACTTACTGTAGGTTGTAGAAGTATGTTGTACAGTAGTATGAGTACTTCGCCACAAGGTACGAAAGGTGGGTTTTACCGTTTTAGCGAGGATTTTGGGGTGGAGTGGAGGGTCTTGGCTGGTATGGGTGTTTATGAGAGGTATATGGGTTGGTTGGATTGGATTGGTTGGGGATGGGATTGGGGATGGGATTTGGGATTTGGATTTGGGGAATGGAGTGGAGTTGGTTTTTATGGGGTAAGATGGGTTTCTTTACGAGGGGCGTTTGTTGGAGTGATGTGTTTTTTTGATGGGATGTGATGGTGTTAGTGTTAGGTTCGTGTTCTGAAGCGGGATTCGTGCGGTGAGGTTATATAGCTAATTATAATTGTTGACTTGGGATCTAGGGAGGTTGATTTTGAGGTCGTGATTATGTTTTTTTCACATCCTTTGTATTTCTATAGGGGTGGTCCATTCTTGGATATTGGTGTTTATACTACTTCTGAAGAATTCACTGGAAGAGTTCCTTGAAGGATACCCATCTATTTTCAATAAAACCTGGTCTTTTACCATACCATTCGGTTATTATTAGAAAGTAAGGTTACTAGCCTTATAAATAATTATCTAACTTGCTCTTATTATTACTCTTTTATGGTGTTTTGATATGGCAGCCAAAGAACGATCTAGACTCGGGTAATACGTTGGCTAGCTTATGGGATGGCTGTTGGATTTACAATAAGGCTCAAGAAGACCTCCCTGCTAGCTTTTCTATAATACAGAATCCCGGGTATAGGACAACGTGCTGGTTACTGTAGTAGTGAGGTTGCGGGAGATATGTTCTAGATAGGTCTGGTCTGGTCTGGATGCGTCTGGTGTATTTTTTTCTTTTGGAGACAGATGGAAGATGCAGGTGGAGGTGGAGGTGGAGGTGTTGATAGTGAGACAGGTGGGTGGGTATGTGGGTACGTGGCGAGTGGACAGGGAATGGATGGGTGGATATTTGTTGAGAGAAGTTTTTATATATCTAATACCTGTGGGTAGGTGGTATGGTATGATATAGTTTAGTATCATATATTACTTGAATTGAGTAATCTAGAGAACCATAGGAATCGAGGAATTTTGTGAGATAGTGTGATGATGTTCAAGTTTGAGATTAGGGGTTCAAGGTAGGTACTTATACTTATACGTATACCATACTTATACGTATACGTACAAATTACGTCGGTGATGGAATATATACATCTGCAACCTTACGGATTTGCTTAATACATTTCCGTTTTTTTTTGCATTTTCGGATACTATATTTTGTTCGGGTTGCTGTTTTTTCGCTGAGCTTTGGTAGGTACTCGCCTTTTAGAGAGAAAGGAGAGGGATAAAGGAGAGTTCAGGGGAGATATAGATGTATGTAGATATAGAGATAGAGGCAAAGATTAACGCAGATGATCGAAAGTAGGAGCGCGCCGATTTATTACTACCGACTAAAATTCACGATCACTTGTTAAGTTATCCACTTGAGAATTGCGCATATAGAGGAAATGATAGGAAGATGATGATGCGACAACTTTCAATTAGACCGAAGAAGGGCAACTAGCCTCCACCACTGCGTACGAGTACCACTCTTTCTCCTGCTAAGCTAGGTACTAAAATCGGTCTGAGGGGCTACTTCTCTGATCTGGGATAGTTACTGTATTGCTTAGATGGCATTATGGCCTAAAGGTGTAAAAGCAAGGCTGTGGATATCTACTGTCGATTTGGAAATTACTGTCGAAAAGAAAGCTCTTGAGTACATCTTATCTGTTGAGAGAAGGGAGGTTGCGGGAGAAGAATTGTTGTTTGTGTGGTGAGAAGTGGCAGTCTTGGAAAATCGTGCATGCGAGTTTGCCAGGGAAATTGGTGATATTATAGAGTCTCGTTGTTATTGTTGTAGTTGGAGTAGGTATCATGAAAACGTTGCGAAGAGAGACGCGGATAAGATCTAGAGTTAGTCTTAGAACGCGGATGAGTTAGTGGTGTATAAAGACTTTTATAGAGCGAGTATTAATAGAGATGCTTAGGTATTCTTTCCAGAGCGGGATGAAGGCGGTGGGATGGAAGATGGATGGTACATTGGGATTTCTGGATTTTTGCTTAGTATTCAAGTTACCAGAAGTCTAAACTTCCAGTAGTGTTAGGGGCCTTAAGCGAGGTGACATCTTTTGACTTTCATGTCGACAAATCATAATAGGAATGAATTTTGAACTCATTAAAGGAACACAATAGCTCCGAGAAGGCGAAGAAAGCGATAGGTGCGAGGGATGCAGATGGGAGGGTGATGATGGTTTGGCGCTACTACGAGCGAAAATAAACGGTTCGAAGCTAAGCGATATCGAGCCACGCCAGCGTAAAACTTCTTGAACTGTCGCGACACTAAGAAGCCCGTCAAGGGAGCTAAGGTCCATAGATAGAAATACGAATAATCGATTCTTCACTTGTGTAACAATTGAAAGGGTGCTATATTTAGTAGTTGTAAATTATTACGGCGAAAATCTTGGAGCTGTTTGGTACCAATATTTATTTCTGGGCTTCTCTCCCATTTTTCTTCTTGCATCTTCAATTTCAATTTCAAGGATCTTTCATTGGCTTTGTTGCTTTTCACCTGTTCCCAAAACTGACAACTTTTCTCGCGTACAATTCCACGAAGCGAAAATGAGACCTTTTGGTAAGCGAACTTCCACTTCAACCAACCACTAACTGACATCCCCCGCAGACTTCCTTTCTCTCCCCCCCTTAATCACCCTCATCCTCGCCAATACCAATCCCAAGCTCCCAGGTGCAAACAAATGGTCGGGTCTCACAGCCCCCGGCGACGAATTCCCGGGGTTCGTAGGAGGAGCAATCCCCACACGAACACTTACGGGGCCAATAACCCATGACGATAATAGTGATTACGACATGCATGGTAGATTCGCGGCTACCAGCACTGATCACGATTTTGAAAACCACCTGCGACGTATCTTTTATGCGAATGGGACGTTTCGGTATAGGGAGTTTGTGGATGGATTGAATGAGAGGGCGGCGAATAGACGGGGGAAGGGGGTTTTGAGTCCTGGTCCGAGTGAGAATGTAAGTTCTTTTCTTCTTCATCATGTTTATTTAAGTTTCGAAGGGAATGAGAATGATCAATGGAAGACGGAATGGGACTGATGTGAAGTAGTGGGATAACGAAAACTGGCACTGGCCCCCAACCTGCGATCTTAGCGACGAGGGCACGTCGCTACGAATCTACCACTCCAGTTACGCCAACACAATCGACAACTACCTCAAATTAAATCACGACACCACCATCACCATCCAGCCGGGTACCTGGGTAAGCATCGGTATCAAGGGGTTCATCCTGTGGATCTACTGGGGCGAAGACGGACATGGCGATGATGGACAGCCTGGGAGTGCACTAACCCTCCCGTTCACGTATATTCGCAAGGGGATGCAGGATAGAGAGGCCTGTGAAAGGACCCAGATAGGCACTCCGGTTGAGAAGACGGGGTTTATTGGCTGGCCGTTTTGTGTGTATGATGCGAGTGGACGGCCGCTGGAGATTTGTGGCGAGAAGAGGCTTTATATGGGGAAGCTTGTTGATCATATTTATCCGGGGACTATGGATGCTTCCTGGACTGGGACGGATTGGTAGATTGTTTGGAGATGAGGTTGGGGATTTTGGTTGTTTGGGTTATGTGTACTTTTATTTGCTTATTTAAGATCGTTTCTGGGATAATTCATAATTTGCTGGCTAGCTTCAAGTACTCTCTATGATGAATGATGCGATATTTCTGACCTTGGCTTGTATCGGCAAAGTATCGCTATAATGGTTACTATGGTATAACTTGAGGTTTCTATCAACTACAAGACTCTCAAACCCAAATACTATGCGGCACATCAGGCTTTTATTAGTCACTAATAATGCCAAGATTCTAATGAACTATATAAGATTCTTGATCGTATCATCCGTAGCCGCTACCAATATTGTTTGCCTTCTGATCAGCCCGTTTTCCAAAATTTCTTATGATGAAGAATACATGATGCTTGATTATGGCGAATTAAGATATCAAAAACACGCAACGGGTCAGGTATCTACCCTCTTTCATCCCTGTAGGTAGCTCTCTCATTCTTTCAATTCATAGCACATCAATGCTGATTCCTTCAAGGTGATGTGCATGGCAGGTGTCAATCATGCATTCGAATGCCTCCCCAATAAAGCACAGGAAGAAAAGGAAGGCTGTCTTATAGATAAAAGAATTTCCAGCCTCTTCAAAAAATATGGTTGGCAGAGCAGAAAGAGAAGAACAAAAGTGATCACTCAGCTATCTTGACAGGAAGACAAGCTAGCATGTGGCGGAAGGATTGAGGGTAGAGCTTATCGCAGGGAATATAGCTCAGCAGAACCAAAAAGGTACACGGCATCAGTTACCAAATACACGATATCATTAAAATTATATTGAGATGCACACTTGCGGGTTTAATTTCACAGATCCCATAGTCTCGAAGCTTTATGTCGCCTACCTTGTTGGCTACCATTTTCCTTGTAGACTACTTTGGACTAAACTTTGCAAAACGTGGCCGGCCCAGATTAAATTAGAGAGTGTACCTGTACTGGTAGCATAAATCAGCAGTGGATAGAATTCTAGGGTTGCCATAGCAAAAAGAAACAATCGACTTTGCAAATAAAATTCCCCGACTTTGAGTAAGTGGTAGTATAGCCACTAAGTACCGACCAGTGTTCCTATTAACCCTATAAGATAAGAATCGATTATTTGATTCTGGCGAGGCACTCAAAAGTATATTCACTAGAAGAAGCTAGTATTACAACAAATCCCAGCTTCTCGGTCGCAGCTGTCAGTGAATCCCACAAACGATAATCTATTTTGGGTTATCGAAGTCTGCCATAACCTTGAATACCCCGATATTCTGACCATATACAGCCACGATTACTATCCTCGGCTATCAGCACAGGGTATTCCCCACGATGGAAGAGATGGCTTAGATGTTCACAATAACCGAATACCCTTGGTTATCATAATGCTGTCAGCAGCCTTTGCTGCCTTATTTTTATCAAATTATCTCAGCCCTACGTTACCTATTGCCATATTCAGACGTATTTTGAAAGCATATCGTTCATTCGCCTCTGACCCCCTCCACCTTCGGACAATCTCGTGAGAACTCAATTATAGAATGCTTTGGCCAAGGGAACGCTCGAGATACACGTGGCGATTGAGCCGCAATACCATATAGGGTATATGCAATGGCTCTCACTTGTCAGCATCTACCAGCCAACAGTGTGCTGATGGTCACACGAAACTCAGCCCCAAAATCGGGATAGGCGTGTCCGGGTTGTTAATGAGTGCTAGAAGAACGTAGTGGCTAGTGAGTTCGACAATAGAAAACAGCCTTAAAATTATCAGAACTTTCCGTCGTAAATTTCAACTGCTACCGCGATCAAAAATCCGTTGTTCGATCGAGAATTCTAATCCATCTCTTAGCCAACGCTAAAATGAGCCACTACCCTCAACATCCTCAAACTCAACAACCAACGATCCCTATGGTGGGAATGCAACAACCACCACAACACGGATATGTTCATGTAAATGAACAGCACAACTCTACATCCTATTCACCACCCATCACTCCAAAGAAAGATGAAACGCTACACGAACGAGTCTCTCTCAAAGTCCGCGTGGAGAAAATACGCAAAAGACTCTCCGCTTTATCTGCTCTTTCCCGCGGTCTGTCCTCAATAACCAACCTCATAATGTTCGTATTCATGGCATTCACGATCTTTACATTCTACAGCACAAGAGATGAGCAGGCTCTAGGGAGGAGCATTTGGGCGAAGGATCAGAAAACCTGGCCCACGTTTTTCGTATTGGCGGCTTCTTTCGTCACATTTTGTGCGAGTCTCTTGGCTTTGCTCCTGTTTTGCTGTTGTTTCAAAAGAGCTGCCAATAGCTGGAAAGTGGTGGTACTCACTTATGCGATTCAGATTGCGATGTGGTTACTAGTTACCTTTCTCTATCGATATGAGAAGAGGCTGAATGATCTCTGGGGTTGGAGTTGTGGTGACATCGCTTGGGAGTTACAGCATAAGGGGAATGCGAGTGTGAACTTTGACAGGTTGTGCGATATTCAGGTACGTTTACCATTTGCTATCGTTCATGTCTTGGGGAAGAATTGTACTGACTTGTTATGAAAAGACTGTCACTTGGTATATTTCTTTGATCGAAACTATCGCCAAGATTCTGCTTGCTATCGGTAGCTTCGTTCTGCTCAGGAAGAATAGACAATTAAATGCTAAGTTGAAGTTGGCTGAGGGATTGGGAGAAGGTGCGACTGGTTTACTAAGTGCTTTTGCATGAAGGGGGAATTTTAGACTTGGGATTCGACGGAGATGTAGTGGAAACTTGTATTTGTTGAGGAGTTTACTGTACTAGACATGCGGGGGTGGCGTTCTGATTGACAGTTTTTTACTGCGTTGGGGATTTCCGAGTGAACAAAATTGGAAAGAGCAATTTTTTGATTCTTGCTTTTCCATATAATACTGTATTGCCAGATTTTGTTTTGCATGCAATTGATTTTTGCCGAATTTGAATAGAAGGCTTGATTCAAAATTCCAAATATGGAGATACTATCTCTTAGAAATTGCAACTGGGAGTTCCAATTTCTGGCAAAGCACACTTTCATATTTGGTATGGTAATTGATCATTTTGATGAAAATTCTGCTCCATAAACTTCTGTCTGAAAGCAGTATTGCTGCGCCGTATTTCCCAATCTCACTGAAACATTCACTTTTTACTAAATGTGTTGGGATACATTAGTATTAGCACACTCGTTCCACGCACTCTCTGATAATTGACACGTGACGAATTGAAAATTGCAACAAAAATAGCATTCTTTCTATTGGTCCTTCCCTGAACACCCTGCAACAGACAGTATGGCTTTCACCATTCTCATTTCATCAATCTTATTCTTCATCTGCCTCTTCCCCTGCTTCTTCGTCTGCCTCTTGGCTTGCTCTGATATGAGACCCTCCTTTGCTTTTACGTTTTGGCTTCTCTTCTTGATCTCCATCCGCCTCCTCTTCGTCTTCCTAAAATTGAAAAAGTTTAGTAGATATCCTTGTCCTCGTTTACAGAATGTGGCTTACCACTTCGACTTCCGATTCCTCTTTAGCATCTTCTTCCAAATTTTCCTGTAAAGTAGATCGTTAACCAGCCTTCACTTCCAGAGTTTAAGGAAAAGGAGAAATACCTCTTCTTCATCCTCGGCTATCTCTTCATCGTCTTCTTCTCCATCGCCATCTGCTTCAGTTTGTTCATCGTCTCCGTTTTCATTCTCTTCGTCAATTTCCTGTCTCATTGGTTAAAGAATGGGATTTCTTAAGGCTTGGAAACCTAGTTTAACCTACCTCTTCTTCAATCTCCTGAAAAAACGATCAGCACCAGTTTATTTTAAAACGTCATGCCATAGGAATTTTGGATAGCATACCTCTACCTCACTTTTTTCTTCATAATCGGCATCTGCTTCCTCCTAAGAGATTAAGAGTTAATATAATGTAATAATGCTGCATTGATATCCACCTTACCTCTTCTTCATCTGGTTCTTCATCGTTTGATTTTGTAGCCTCCTGTTAGTTGATTCTGTCAGAGAAGCCTCAAACAATAGGTAAAAAATCCATTAATACCTCGTTGTCCTCGTTATCCTCAGGGTCTATTTCTTTTTCATTTTTCTACATGGTGTCAACATATAAGACTTAATTTCTTGGGGCGACTAACCTCCTTGTCACTCGCAACTCCACCTCCTGTTTCGTCCTCGTCCTCATAATCTTCCTGATCTTCGTTTTGATGTTCGTTTGGTTCTCCGTTTGATTCCTCGTTTTGTTCTTCGTCCTCGTCTGGCGTGGATTGCTTAGAGTTTCTACCTCTATCTTTCTTGACCTTCTCTTTCATGTGATCTATCTCCTCCTGCGTCTTGATTTCACGATCTGGGCGCTCCTCTCCTTCCGCAATATTACCTTCTCTGAAATGATATGAGCATGCAGTCTTTAAGATACTGTAAATCAGGCTACTCACTCATCAAGTTTTGTTGCAGCTTCCGCTGCCAGCGTTTCTTCATTGTCGGCTTTCGAAATCTCTTCAGATACCTCTGCGGCGGCGGCTGCTGCATCAGCGGCTTTCTTCATGGCTTCTGCATCTTCATTCTTCTTTCGGATCTCATCCGGATTGAGTTTAGGCTGCGCGTTGTCGAAATGAACATGCATGGCTGGATCGCCAAATTGAGAAAACTTCTTGCTGTCACCAGTCCAAGCCCAATAATCACCCTCCCACTTTCCTCTACGGAGATACTTTCCAGTGTCAAAAAGATACACAATAAATTTGGCAAACTTTCCCGGTGCAAATTCAAGATCAAGTGTATCCATTGGTAGAACCCGTCCTTGTAAATCCTTGAATTCATCCCCTTGGATATCCGTTGCGATAACGATGTTGTACTGTCCCAAAGTAGCATCTTTGAGAATTGCAACAGAGTTATCGAGGAATTGTTTTCTAGTAACGAAATCGTTGTCGTCTTGTCTGGCTTGTTCTTTTGTTTTGTTTGCTTGTTCACGGACCAAGTCCATTATTTTACTGGCACCTTCAGTAATTTCCACGACTTGATTCATGGCATCACCGGCGGAAGCGTCTTTGCCAGCTCCTCCAGTGAGGAGGCCTAGCAAGTTAGCCGCCCGTCGGAAATTAGGAACTCTCCAGAGCCATACCTTTGAGCACCATTGCACCTTGAGCCGCCATCGTAGAAGATTCTTACACAGAAAGATAGACGAAATTGATTTGTGAAATTCTACAAAGAAGGCTGCCGGCGGAAACAGGGTACAACTTTTTAAATTATCAAGCTGAAGGATTTAAAGTAAGAGATCACATCATGCTAAAAGCCGTTATATATAGTCATCTCTCGCCTTTCTCTTTACAAATGCAGGGACGAGGCAAAAATGCCAAGAAACGCTTTCATCTCAGCCCCGTTTCCATTTACTCGTTTCGTCACATAAATTAGCTTCATCCGCTCATTATTTGAGTTATTTTCCTTGCGAAAGTGAGAAACAAAGCAAAGCCCTTGGCTCATTCCAAAATTAGAGGAGAACGCAGGCAATTGTTCTCTGCCGTACCTCTGAATTCCCGAGATGGACCCCTTTCCTCGATCCTTCACTGAAAGCTGACTTCAATTGCCCACCAAATTATATTTGACATCCAGAGGCGCTTTTCCCTACACATCTTATACGAAAAGCTGAAATCCAACCTGATTTCGATGTAAGCAAGAGCCGGTTAGGGCAAACCTGCCACTCGGTTATCATTCTGGCAATATTGTCACACCCGGGGATGTAAACACACTGCCTCCACAAAATAGCTAGTCATCTGAGATTTCATGGAGGTGAATGTAGGGTAAGCAGGGTATTCGATGTGACTCTGTTGTTCCAAACAAACGTGGTTGTGGCATGAAGGATGCTTTTTGGCGTGCATTTAAGCTTACTTGTGGGATATCTCCGGGTATTTGGGACAGGGGTCTCGGCTATCGGACAAGCGAGATGGAGGGTAAGTAGTCGCCTGTCAAATTGTCTTGAGGTATGCTGTTTGAATACGTTCAGAACGAAGAGCTCAATAGGCAAAGAAAGACATGTTTTTCCAGGAATTATGGTTACACAGGTATTTGAGCTGCGCTTATCCAGGTATACGTGAATGAGTGGTAGTAAGAATCGGCGATTCGGCCGAGACGATCGCAAATATTTTTCTAGTGCTTGCATACTCTAAGTCTAGCTCGCTATCTTGATCAGATTAAGAAGCCCCCAATTGATAACCGTCATTTGATAAGCAATCGTCTTGATTAGATCGTTTTCCTCAATCGTCTTTTGTGGAGAACACAGTAAGACCTGTCGCTTACACCCAACTTACTTGCGTGTGCTCAGCCGCAAACAAGAAATCGGGTTTATTGCCCCTTGAAAATCCAAATTTGGGACGTACAAAAGAGAAAGAGGTGTAAAAGTAACATTAGTAAAATTAAAAGAGCATAAAGAAGGCCGAAATTTCATAAAACCTGATCCAGCTGCAAGAACCATCCATCATTCACATCAAAGTCCAAAGATTATCGCAAGCATCAAGATCCGGATATCTTACTCTCAGTTCCGTTGCCGCTTATTTAATACCTTCGACCCCCTCCAGAGATGTCTGTTGAAGAAGGAAACAAAAATAAAGAGATAGGGCTTAAGAAGTTCCTTCTCGATCCAAAAGCCGGCGTCAACTCAGTTCGAACTTATCTTGCTGAAAACTCAAACAATACGCACCATTCAAACGGACCTGCTTCTGGCCAGAATTTGAATCAGTCCCAGTACTCCAACGACAGTGCTCACCTGGGTCCAAATACCAATTCATCCTTTGTACCAGCCAATCAACAGTTTCCTTCGAGACCGTCATCATCTGCTTCTTTTCACCCAGTTCTAAGCCAACAGCAACAACAACCAAACAGCTTGGGCCAACAACCCATTCAGCAGCAAGCTCAACAGCAGAATCAACACATAAATCAGCAGCAAAATCAAAACCAGCAACAACACAACACTCCATACTCACTCACTGCGAATATCTTAGATTTTCTTGGACACCCTGAAACCAATCAGTCCACGCCACCTTCAACCAACCAGAATATTTCAAACGTCCAACAAGAAGCACCTTACCTAGCGACCGTCATGTATCCTGCCGAGGCACAAGTAGCTCACCATTTCGCCGGTGCAACTCTAGGCTCGCAGCTGGAATTGAACCGAAACATGTACAATAGCAGCCCAGGGCTTGCCCCGCCACCAGCAGATTCGACTATCGGAGTAGCCAGTGCTCCAAGACTCTACCACCGTATGATTTTGGAATTCGAAACCTTGAAGTCAATCTTCTACGCTGCCCGTGTTCGTAAGTAAAACCCTTATTCACAAAGTTTGGACGTAACTAACACGTCTAAAGAACCATTCCACAATAATTTGATCCCAGTGGTGACAAAGCTCAAGGCACTTGCCAGAGAAATCTGGAACCTTAGATATACACGGGCCAATGAGTTCGACTATGCGGAAGCTGCTCACCAACCAATAATTATTTTCTGGAAGGAGCAATTTGAGCAATGGTCTGATACTTTGGAAGATATGCACAACCCCATCTTGATGCAAAGACTGGCATTGGTTGACCAAGAGAACAATTATCCAGCAATGGCTGGTCTTGCAATTGCTGGGCTTCAAGCTCCTGGTTCGCTTCCGCCAGTGGCTCAGCAGGCCCCTCTCGCTCCTGGTTTATCTGCTCAAGTCCCTGCAGCAAGTCCTGCTGCCCCAGCACCATCACCGACCCCTGCTGCCACTCCCATGAAAAAGACTGTGGCGAAAAAGGTCGCTACGGCAACACCTTCCGCTGATGGAGAGGCGGCCCCGGTGGTGAAAAAGAAGGTAGTGAAGAAGGCTGCTGCCGTCGATGGCGAAGATCCCCCTGTAGTTAAGAAGAAGGTTGTGAAGAAGAAGGTGGCAGCTGAGTAAAGCTTATCTAAAGGGATTGTATTTTGAAGTCACTTTTTGCTGTGCTGTAAGAAGGGAGTTACGGAGTTATGTCATTTCTGATTAGACTGAAATCTGGAAATTATATTTAGTACTTGAAGTCTGAACAATGAAATGTCTCATGTGACGAGCTCGAGATTTGAGAATGGTTTGTGGGGTCTACTTGACGTGTTCCGACTTATAGATTTCCATTTTCAAATGAAATCAAAGCATGGCAATGCGATGAACTGTACCCGGTCACTTGTAAAGACCTCGTTATTGCTCAGTATGTGACTTAAAAAGTCGTTGTAGTGGGTGGAATCCTTTGCACAAGTAACTCAATAGCGCAGGTAATATTATCAGGCTTTGCGATACTTGTAATTGAAACCACTCATCGACAGAAAGTTCGCCCACGATTCTTCTTGGGTACACAAAAATGCTTGAACCTACCGACTGACCGAAGGATGAACGTTGTGTTTTGTGACATGGACGGAATTAAGGGATTCCGCAAAGGTATTTCAGATGTCCATGTCAGGGGGCACAGGTCTACGCCTCCGAAACTATAACACAGTTGTGTGTCGAACATCGACTGTCTTTATGTCGTACAAATTAGGCATCTCTGACGTGACATTTGAAGAGAGCGTAAGCAATTGGGCGAGGTTCGGGTGAGAATCGCGAAATTCGCGGTGGAACTTGTCATCAGACCTGCGCGGCGATACTATAGGTCATACAGTAAAGTATTAAATATGTTTAAGAGAAGCCACTATATTACACTAGTGTTTTCTTGAATTTATTAGCTGTAGGAAATATTTATTCTGGACACAAAGCTAATGAAATCCTTCGGCAGATCCACTGATAAGACGTAATATCTTACAGATGAAGTTATACTTGTTTTATTCAGGCATGGGCACGAGAAAAGAATTTGGATATCGGGCGTGTCCTCGGTGGAAAGATAACAATCGTATCGTAAATTTGTTGACGATACGATATCGGCTTTTTGACCATATCCGTTAGGTGGCTGAACTTCTAGGAGTTCGGTTTGGGTAATTTACTGAGGGCAGTGCAAATAAGGCGTCCCATGAGGCTTTTCAGACTTGTCTGGCAAAGCTCATTCAATTATTGTTGCGCAACCGATTTCAGCGTCGTTTAATTTAGTGCTGACAACACTTACAGAATTCAAGAAACACAAAGATCCAACTGAATCAAGTCACTGGTCCTGGCTTATTTTTTTAACCAAACGCCGCTTTGAATCGAGCACTAATTTATATAGCTTGGGGAAGTGGGCATATAGCAGGGCACCCTGTGAATCCTAAAGGTTACACAAGCTGACAACGACCGAGCAAAGAAACTCAGCATAGGGGTCCCGCTGAAAAGCCATATGCAGAGAGCTTACTTTCAACTACACATGTACTAGGTTACAGCAGTAGAACTTATATGCAGTGCTTCGGATTACCTAAATCAATTCTCGAAGTCTGCCTTTATAGGCCGCAGAACCGCGTATAAAGTAGTTACCGGTATGCCCTGGCGGTCCATTTTTATTATTTTACCCAAGGTTTTCTGATCTGCTAGAAATCTTCGCTTCATTTCAACGGCTGATTAAAGTACAATCTCAAAGATGATTTTCAAAATTCTCTTTGTAGCTTCGGCGTTTCTACTATCGTTTTGTTATTCCTTCAAAAATTGCGGTTTTGGAACGCCGGACTTACCCGCTCCAAAAAACCCCGCCAGCAGTCCTACAATACAGAAAGCATTGTCTGATCTCAAATCAGCTATTAATGATGGTATCACGAGCGGAAAGTTTTCTTCAAACTCAACTTCTTTCTCAGTTGAGATATTTTCTACTCACAGCCAAACTCCGCTTTTTGAATACTACCACACGGCGCCGAATCTTGCAGCCTCCAATGGGACAAAAATAGTGGATTCCAACAGTATCTACAGGGTGGCAAGTGTATCAAAACTCTTGTCTGTTTACACTTTTATCATTGAGACGGGAGATAAACATTTTCACGAACCTGTCACAAAATATATCCCGGAGCTTGCGGCCGCCAGCCACGAGTACTCCGATAGCAAGGCTGCTGATGCTGTGGATTGGAAATCTATTACAGTAGGGAACCTTGCTAGCCATATGTCTGGAATTGGCCGTGATTGTACGTACTATTCAATACCCGCGTTGTTAAGAAAAAGCAATAACTTAAATGCAGATACTGCTGATCTGTTGGGAAACACTGACCTGACCTCATCTGGATTTCCGCCGTTAAACGCATCGGACTTCAAATTGTGTGCACTACCGTCAGACTGTGATAGAAAGAGTAAGATTATTTTTCATTTTAGTTTTTGGAGTTGTAGGAGACATCTCCAATATTGGAGAATTTGAACAAACAAGTATCGGGTTTTTCATATACAAGCTACATACCGTTACAAGAAATTATGCTGACCCAGCAATAGAATTCTTCGAAAACATAGTTAAGCGACATCCAGTTTTTCCAACCTCGACCACGCCAATATATAGTAATATTGCTTTCCAGATTCTCGGCTATGTGCTTGAAAATATCACTGGTAAAAGTTTTAAAGAGTCATTGACCAGGTCGCTCATTTTCAAATTAAAGCTCAATGGAACAACTTATAATAAACCAAAGGGTAACAAGAATGGTGTAATTCCCACGACAGGATTTGAAACAATGTGGGATTTGGATAGCCCGGATTTTGTCCCGTAAGTTACTTACACTCAAAGTACATATAATGTGTGAAAGCCTAACCAAAATCTTTATCAGTGCAGGCGGTATATACTCCAGCTCAGGAGACCTCGCTAAAATCGGCCGTTCCATTCTTTCATCCTCCATCTTGACCCCCACTCAAACAAGAAGATGGATGAAACCAGTATCACACACTGCACTACTCCAATTCTCTGTCGGAATGCCATGGGAGATTGGACGCTTACAACTTCCTGCGCCTCAAAACAAAATAATAGACGTATACAAAAAGCTGGGACTCCTGGGCTCTTACAGTACAGATTTCTCATTAATTCCAGGTTGGGATATGGGATATGTAATTCTGCACGCAGATGATCCCACACGACCAACTGGTGTCAGCAGCGCCATCGGGGAGCTCATCAATACCATTTTACTTCCAGCTGTCGAGGGAGCAGCCCGAGAAGAAGTGAATGCAAAATATACAGGCACCTATAAATCCTCCAATCCAAAACTCAACTCCTCCATGATCGTTGTCACGAATCCAGATAACCTCGGCCTAAGTGTAATGTCTTTGTTCAGTAATAGCACAGATATGGTGAACACTGCTGCTGCTCTACTCGGCAATATACCTTCTTCAGACGTTCTCATCACGCTATATCCAACCGGACTGGAAAAAGAAATTCCGGGTTCGTATGGAGAGACACTGCAGACTTTCAGGGCAGTCTTTGAAAATAAGGCAACCGTGAATCCGGAATCCAGTTTCGGTAATTGCAATAGTTGGGAATCAGCGGATTCGCCTGTGTACGGGGTTGTTGCCGTGGATGAGTTTGCGTTCCTGGTTGGGAGCGATGGAAAGGCGAAGAGTGCTGAGGTTAGGAGTTTGAGGGCTGTTTTAGAGAAGGTTCAATGAGCGGCTCAGACGTGCTTGATTGAGGCTGACGAAGTTTTCATGAGAGTATGAGAGTGGCTTTCTCTCATCCCTTCTAAAACATTTAATTTGGTGAATTTATATGAAGGTTACTATCTTCCTCACTTACAATTGACTAGAATGCACCGATTTGCACCGATATCGGCATCATATTTTATAATCTTTGGTAGAGTGTGGAAGCCGTGATAAAGCCTGAATATTGTGACCTCTTTCACATATCCGATGATATCCGATCTGTGAAGTCGATAGGCAACCTCAAGCTAACAGTGCGCCTCACCGAGAAATTGTTATCCAGTTTCAGTTTCCCAAACTTTCGCCACCCAGATGGTCTTTGCAGGGTCGCCCACGGAGACCGCGGGGTGCGGTGGAACAATACACACATACATGTACACATAAGATTACATGTATATCTTAAGCACGTTACGCTTGTTGCTATACTGTACATACGAACACTGTCCCAACAACCAAGTAAACGGCTATTTTTAAACCTTTCTAGCTTCGAAGTTCAGAGCGGCTCTTTATTCAGTGTTGAAGTGATAATTGCTAGATCACATCTCACAGCATCCTTTCTGAATTATCCGGAGCCAAAACAAGGGTTCGTAACTGCAACCCCCGTTGTAACTGTATTGAGGAGCGTTTCTAACGAGATTGCCCGTATTAAGACCAGATGTTCCTTAACAGAATGAAAGGAAGTCCAATCCAGCCATAACCGGGGTGTGTTTATATATGGCTGCTCTGTTGTAGGTGCATATCTTGAAAAAGCCTGTACTATAGTATAGTTTAAGAGTTCTTGCTACGAAAGCAGCTAAAATTACAGACTTGAATGGCTAGGATTTCTTCGGAGAATAGTATGGTTCAATGCTGGTTTCGCTAGTCTGCGCAATATCCGACATTACATCGAGGACTATGAGCCCAGGTTTGATCCTACCGTCATCCCAATAGCATCAAATCTTTCAAGAACGGAAGAAAAATTAGACACAGGGTAAAGTTACCGAGACGACGGCGCCTTCAGTACTACTCAAAAGGCGCTATTCTGTTCACGATACCACAAGCTCTATACAACAGGCGAACTTACATCGACAGCCGTAGCCGAAGCTCTACTTCCGCTAATCCGTCGGGACACTTCTCCTCCTGGTGAACACTCCGTCGGCTGGTTTAAGTCCAGAAGTGATCTGATTTTGAAGTCAGCGCGCGCTTCAACAGAACGGTACAAGCAAAGAAAGTCACGAGGGCTTCTGGACGGTGTGCCCACCGCGATCAAGGATGAATACGATTTGGAGGGCTATCAATCATGCCTGGGCTCATTGAATGACTACACTGGCTTGGAAGTTGAAGCTCTATTGCCCGTTACCATTTGCCTCCGAAATGGGTTCACACGATAGAGACGACAAAACAGAAGACGCGGGAAAGTTGTACAGATGGAAGTGGAAGTGATAGTCATTAAGCACTCTCGAGGCACTCATGTCATGAAATGGCCCCAGGTTCTTGACCCAAAAGAAGCGAGGAGGGCAGTAGCAGCTTCCTACTAACGTCCATACCAAACAAATTGTTGTAGCAACATCAGTTTCTCAGACTAGTGCTCTCTTCCTGATGGTGGTACAATAGAACCTTCAATCTTGGTTTGATCGTTTTCAGAGGTACTTTACAATCAACATCAGCGAGTCGCCAATTCAGATGCCAGTCACGTAGCAATTAGACTGTTTGTCTTTCCATATTTTGTCTGCCCAAAATATTTTACATAGAATCTCGAATTTCCGCGATGTTACATGAGGCGGGGCACGGTACTTTGGGGTTCGGCTCATGATTTCCCCATGGGGAAAATTCATAGGTATGGGATATGGACAATCTCGGTATCCACTCCATGGAACTTGAGCTTGAAGTTGTTCTGAGTATCGGTGTAAGTGCAAATGAGCTCGAGTTCTGTGGGAAATGCCGTTTATTCTCACCGTAAAACCGAGTGAAACCGTTTCCCTTTTCGTATTCTACAGTAAGACTGCGGAAAACCAAAAATTCACTACAGTACCACGTTGCAGACATCTGACACCCCCGGAACAATGCAACCGAAACAAATATGCGGTTCGTATCCCTACCCTCTCGTTTCCTTACGATCCGATTTCTTAGTTACCAAAGGATTCTTGTAAGACTTACAATATTAGATGGACTGATTGAGAAGGTCAGTAGCGCCTCTAGTGATGCAAGACTGTTGTCATTGAACTGAACGAAATCTGAAGACGGAAACCTCTCTCGGATGGATAATGATTCTGCGATAGCCTATTGGTGGTAATTCAGGACATCGAGATTAGAGCAAGTGACAGCGTACAGTAAGCCTTGGTATCGCGAAGCTCCACCCATGCATCATTTCATTATCCGCATTCCGCTAATAATATTTCTTATTTAAAATGGAGTTAAAATGGAAGATATTTTCGCATCATTCATGAAAGCTGGCCACTAAACCTGGCACTTAAAGCATCCATTTATCATGTCGTTTTACCGTTTTATCTCGTTTACGTTAGCTATTGCTGGCTTTCTATCTGCCGAGCCAATCGCACGCTCACAAGCCGGAATCTATCATGGCCGTTATTTACCTACATTCAATCAAGATGTGTTTTTGGGTATCAAGTACTCACCGAAACCCGTCCGTTTTACACCTTCTGTACTTGCGAGTGACAGCCCCAATTCCGAGTTCAATGCCACGAGTTATGGCACGGATTGTTATGGGTTCGGGGCAGATACCACGAGAATGGTAGCCGAAGGATTTACAACCCTAGGAGAAGATTGCTTACACTTGAATATTGTTAAGCCTGCTGGCGAAAGTGAAGGATTGCCTGTACTTCTATGGATTTATGGTGGCGGTTGGTTTACTGGCGCAACCAGTGACCCGCGGTAAGTGAATAAATCTTTTTTCATCTAACACACTTCTCATTACGTTGGTTCCACTCGTCTATTCTCCGGATTGGCATAATTTGGTTCTTTCTAACTGGTTCCCAGTTACAACTTGAGTTATATTGTCGAGCAATCTGTTTTGAATGGCAAACCAGTCATGGGTGTTTCAATAAACTACCGTCTAGCAGCTTTCGGTTTCATTTTCAGCGAGGAAGTCAAAGCAAGCGGGAACCAGAATCTCGGTCTGCGTGATCAACGTATTGCCATGAAATGGGTCAATCGCCACATTGCCTCATTCGGCGGAGACCCAAACAAAGTCACTATTTGGGGAGAATCTGCTGGCGCTTATTCGGTTGGCGACCATATTGCAGCATATGACGGTGACTCAGAAGGCCTCTTTCGCGCTGCGATTCTCGAAAGTGGAGGAGGTGTTGGAGCTCCCCTGAATGGAACGGATTGGTATCAGCATGTGTATGATGAACTTTCGTTCAAAGCGGGGTGTAGTAATGCTACAGATACGCTCCAATGCCTCAGAGAAGTTCCTTATGAGGTTATCGCCCCACTTGCCTATAATGGCCGAGATCAATGGTTCCATACCATTGATGGATCTTTGATCCCAAGATTCGGACAGGAATCATTGGTAACTGGAAAGTTCGCCAAGATTCCAATTCTTCTTGGAACAAATACAGATGAGGGATTTGGTTTCAATGCAGTAAATAACGGTAGGTTCCGTATTTTCTATTTACACCTAGTCCTCAAGCTTCAGTCAGAATATGTACGATGTGATTTGTCAAACAGAACAGTATGTTTGTCACCTACTAACATATAAATAGATACTCAAGCAATAGGCGTACTCACTCATAACCAAAGATTCAACATCGATGAAGCACAAGCAAAAAGACTTTTAGAGCTCTACCCTAACGACCCAACAATCGGCTATCCTTACGGATGGGGAAACCGGACCTGGCCCGGAAAGGGTCTCCAATACAAACGAATCTGGAGTATCGCGACTGACATGACTATGTTTGCCCCAAGAAGATTGTTCGCGGAGCAGATGAGAAAATACGTCTCGCATGTTTATTCTTACAGATGGGATGCACCTAAATATAACACCACGAATGATATTGGCGTCAACCACTTCTCGGAGGTAAATAAGGATCTATGGATGGAGAAAAGAAGTCCTCTGCTAATTAATGTATAGATACCATTTGTGTTTGGAAACCCTGAGCAGGACTTTACACCCTTGGGGAACAGTACCGAGAATCTTCGTTTAGCACGGTTGGTGGGGAGGATGTGGACTTCTTTCGCTTATGATCTTGATCCAAATGGTCATGGAGGTACGTAAATGTCAATTTCCTGTGTCCCGTAAAGTTCTGTTATCTAACAATATGGCCCAATAGTTCCTGGAATTGTCCAATGGCCAAAGTACAGTGCCGATGACGCCAAGAATTTTGTCTTTCGCAAGGACTTGAGTTACACTGAGCCAGACACGGATCGTGGGGAGGCAGTAGCTTATATTAACACTATTGTGAGATAAGGGTTTCTACTCTCATGATTGAAAATTAGGTACATAATATCAATTAACCACATTTTTACCCTCTCGGTGAAGATACAGCATGATTACAGTATTCTCCCTCGCTTAAGTCGCAAAGTAAACCCACTTTCGGGAACACGCGCACTCGTGTATATAGAGGTCAGATGATGCACTAATCTAACGAACGCAAATTGCGTTAATGTAGTATTTTACATATCACTTCAATCATCCGCCTGTGGGGCCATTTTAGCCGCCATCCCATACCTGACCCGTTGGCTAAACGCACTCATAGTATATATTACAATGAACTCCCGCGCGAGGTTTTCAAGTGGTAGTATGGCTATTGTCAATCAAGTCTTGCCAAATCTACTCTTACACCTTGGCGATAATGCGGGGGGTGACAAAGTCCCACTTCGCTAAGGAGGTCATAAAAGGGAAAGTATCTGATTGTTTGCTTTAAGTAAAGTGCTCTTCCTTTCAAAGATCATCTCTTCATAGACCCATAAGAGTTGGTAGCCTCAAACCCATCATGATGGTTCAATTTCGATCTCTCCTCGCTTTCTTGCCTCTTATGCTCTCCTCAACAGCATTCCTTCTTCCCCGCCAAGCAACCACAACGCAGGTCTACAAATTCCCTTCCACCGCCTCGATCGAAGGAATCGGTATCCGAGAAAATGGTCAAATTCTCATCACTCGTATGGACGCTGGGGAAATCTGGCAATATGATCCTACGACAAAAGCCGCAGCAAAACTCATCTCCATCTCGGGAGTCACAGCTACCGCAGGTATTGTGGAATTAGCACCCGATGTATGGTACATCGTTGGCGGAAAATACTCAGGGGGTGCGAATACAGCGGGAAGTTGGGGGGTCTACAAGCTGAATTTGAATGGTGCCAGTCCGGCGTTGAGCACGGTCAAGGTTGTGCCGGAGAGTAAACTTTGGAATGGGTTGACTAAGTTGGATAACGATACTTTACTTATCGGAGATGCGCAGGCAGGGAGTGTGTTCAAGATGAGTGCCTCCACCGGTAAATACTCAGCCATCATCACTGCGAACTCGGAAATGACACCCGGAGGTGGAATCCCCTTCGGTCTTGATGGCATTCGCTACTACAATGGCTCTTTGTACTTTACGAACATTTCGAAGAATACATTCTCGAGAGTACCGATTGATGCCAGCGGTAAGGCGGGGACGGTAGTCAAGATCTATAGCAATACCCCTGGAGACGATTTGAGTTTTGATAGTTTGGGAAATGCGTATGTTGCGACCAACTTGCAGAACTCAGTTATCAAGGTGGATGCAGCCGGGAAGATTACTAAGTTGGCGACTGTCAGTGGAAGTACCTGTACGGCGTTTGGGAGGACGGAGGCGACCAAGAATACACTTTATGTGGGGGGTGGAAGTTCTGTTATGAGCTTTCCTGTTACTTTCTAAGGTGGGTGTATGTCTGGTGTGATTGAGAATTATGGGTGGCGCTGGGTGAGTGGATGGGTATTATGGTTTTTTTTAGAACATGGACACCTTATTTGTTATGGAAATATTTCTGGGTAAAAGTTGCTATTCCAGTGTAGAAGGAAAGTCCTCCGAACAATGTAGACTGAGCAATGCCAAGTTCATTATTCTTAATCTAAGCATGCACAACTCCACACTCCAAAAACTACCCAAAAGGATTTCCTATTTCTTTTCCATACCTTACTCCCAAAACTCCGTAACACCCGCTCAGGAACATCTACTAATAGATAGGACAATCAAAAACATTTCCTACGGCTTCCTCTGCATCTCGCCTCTATCCGTTCGGCCTTCTTTTGCAAGTTTAAAACGGTTTCAAGAGCTATCACGTCCTCATCTTGCGATTTCTTAACCAGCTCCTCACCATGTGAATTTACGGAGACGATATCTTGCCCCGCAGATTGTTCTTCGACAGATGGATCAGGCATGGGTTCTGATGAAATGTGCTTGTGGTTGAGAGCGGGGCGTGATAAGCTCAAGTTGTCGTCAGCAGTAGTATCGGTTTCTGAGTCTACCTCTTCAGGGTGATAGATGTATTGAGTTTGTTTATCCTCGGATGTGTATTTTCCACCGTTTTTTATGCTAAGTGGCTTGATATATGGGGAGGCGAATGGATCGTCTGCGGACACATCGAGGTCTTCATTTATAGGTACCCATTCTTCGGTGACTTCGTTGAATTTATGCCTGACTCTTGTTAATTACATCATCGATAGACGAAGAGAGGAAGTACGGACCCTTCAAAGATGGTATCTGTAAGCGAGTTCTGAGTGTACTCATCCTCAAGAATTTGCTTGTATTTGAACGGGATTTTCGCAGCCGTTCCTTCGAAAAAGGTATCTCTCAATGGGAAAATCTCCGTCTTCTAGAAGTCGTTAATGGGGAAAGGCCGTAGACAGGTACGGAGTACCAGCTTACATAGTATTGATGCCCATCTTTACATTCAAGAAGTCCTAGATCCCGGTCATATCTTACGGCGGTAATATCGATGAAGAGCCCACTTGTCATGTCGACCCATCGAGCGTCAATGACATTCAAACTATCTTGTTGGCTTTTGTTGATGTAGTGTGGATTGATTTCAAGCATATATTCCCGACCGCCGGGTATACGTGGTGTTTGATAATAGTACGTTGTCATGTTGTAAAAGGACGCAAGGTAACTCATGGTTGCTTCTGTTACTTGAACGTCTGAATCGGAGTCCCATGGAAGAATCTACATAGTTCTTATTAGTATGACTGGGCCTTGATGCGGAGGTGGGGGCTAAGGTCTCAAAATACCTTTCGATTCCACCACCATCCAAGAAGAGTGCCATGCATAATCCATGTTTCCACTCCAATGTCAGCCATTGTGGTAAGGTAGGTTTGGATTGAGTTCGTTAGAACTTCTTTTCGTTCCCGGTATCCCAATTCATGGTCCGCATATCGACCATCATAATGCGCGTGGAATATGCTCTCATGGAAAAACTTCTCTGGCGGATCACCCTCTCTTCCGCTCATATCTTGGTGTATCCTTGGGGATCGAGTATGGCAATGAGACTCATTCTGTTGGTGTGGTAACGCTATTGATAACACTGATAGTAGCGCTGGCAAAAACAATAGCAATGACAAACGCATCTTGATGATTGAGAAGAGTGACGGCCGAGCTTGATTGAAAATAGATTGATTGAAGATTCTGCCCTGCTTATTTTCTTCAAAGATACTTCTCAGCGTGGTGGATATCGACGGATATGAGGATACACAGTTGAGTGCTTGTAGGTGGGCTGCGGAGGTCCGCTTGGTAAGAAAGGGAGTATCAAAAGTATTTATATTCAATACAAGTGGCAATCAATGCCAGAGAAGCGATGTATACAGTACTCTTCAATGAATGGAAGTCGACATGAAATTCATAGAGAATGACGGTACTAGAGTCTGGGCAGGTACGAATAGAAAGGGAGCCAAGAAATGAAAATGCAGGTTGGCTCCTATGCCTTCTATAGACAGAGAGCGGCAGAGCCAAGACGAATAAAGAAAGGCGCTATGTCAAACAAAAAAGGAGTAACAGTGGTAAGGTGTCGTGTGATAAGGTGCAAAAAGTGGACTAGAATGACGGAGAAAATAATAGGATCTTGTTCTAGGGTAGTGGTCTGCCGCTGCGTGGCTTAAGCCACTCCTTACCACTAGTCAGAATCAACAAGCCCACCCGAATAGTTGAACAACCCATTGGCAGCTGGACCTTAAGCGAGGGTGTAGATGATGACGGGTTTGAGCACTTTTTGTAACACATCATGTTCCGCACGATCCGTCAAGATTTTCGTTAGAGCCATCGAATTCATCGAAGGTGGGGTAAAATAAGGCGGAGATGACAAAAACAATTGCCCTGACTCTGGAAGAGTTCACCTCTACCCACTCGGGAACCAGAATCCACTGTTGTTGTATTCCCATATCTCACCACAACTACCTCAACATGCGGACTCCCACAACGGTGCTGGTTTATGAAAGGGAGGAACTTGGCTCCAACCACTCGGATTGTTGGTAGTCCAGCGGTAGGAGTTCAAGAATTAGACCGCTTGCCGCTTTCTGTAGACCATCATGCCGTCAGCCAACGTGTGGTTTAAATATATACCAGAAGCCGCTGCATCTCTCTGCACCACTCCTCCTAAACAATTCGTCAGCTCTTCCAAATTGATCCCCAAAACAGAGTGCCATCTGATGTCCAACCCGATCAAAATTGCTCGAAGGCTGACGCGTCAATGTGCAATGTCCGGGGGGTGCATTAGTGGCGCGTGCTTCGTGACCCCTCAATGAAATCAAGCCTTCGCCAAGGGCTTGGCCGAAGCTTGGTTGCGCCAGAACCGTCCCCCTTATCATGGCCTGGGTTATTCATCCTTTGACCACCACCTGAAAAAAGCTTTGAGACACGAGAGCCTGTTATTTTAGCCAGACCGACACAATTGAGGCATCGAGGCTGTTCGCTCTCCTAATACTGGATTCGTAACATATATGTACAGTCCTAATGCGTCGGAACACCGAAAGGCCTATCGACTGCCTAGCCGAGTGCCGAATATATTAGTGTCTTCATGGTGCGTGCCATCCCTTTTTTCAAATAGACAGCACCGCCCACATAACTGGGCGAAGAAGGGGAGAGGTAAGGAGGCTCCAAATTTAGGAAAGTTATTTTTGCAGATGACAAACAGGCTCATAAAAGAGTGGTGCCGTGCTTGGAGTTTCAAGATTTGTACATTACAGCGGCACAGAACAAAAGTAAATGGTCCTTTCTCGACTCGTCTCATCGAGAGAAAATCGGATGAACAGTCGAGGATCACGAGCACAACCAGCCTCAGCCATGTGAAAAGCGAACCTGTGGAGTAACCTTGGAATTAGGTATTCGGGCTTGTTTATATCACGTGACTACTATTTCCAGTGGCAGCGTGTACAGGCTTACCTACATATTCTGAAACTCGGAAGATATCCATCCCATCGCATTTTGCTCAGCTGTACTCCGTGCATATGGAATTTCAGGTTCTAAACGTTGCGGGTCTGCTTGAGCTTTGGGTGATCAAACTATGCTTGCTCTGATCATTTTTTGATGAGTCGATGACCAGGGAACAAGCTCTCGGGACCTGGCAGGAAGTACAACGGAGAATATTTGGTCGATCACACTGGACGTTATGATTTCATGCCAGATTTGAAATTTTCTTCTTGTTATCCGAAATCGAGAGAAACAACAAGTCTTGTGAATCATTGTTTGTATAGACAAGCACTGCCATCCAGATAGTTAACTTTCATCAGCCATAGGAGATCTCAAGATGAATGATTGAAACTCATTTTCTACATCCCACTGGAACGTTTACATGATCCAGTCTCCTTTTGTATGAACTGCTTTAGGTAATTGGACCAGTTATGACTCTGGTAAAACTGTGCGAGGAAGGGAAAGGAGGGAAGTCGTGAAGCACATATTTTTCTCAGCAATTCAATTCTCTCTTGAAACAATGTATGCTGCTCGCAGTGAATGGAAGCATCGTCAGCCATGCGTGGAGCGTATACAGCGATATTCCTAACTCGTGTCAAAAACGCGATTTTCCAGGAACACCAAAAAAAAGTGCAAACGAGGAATCGCTAGCGTGAGAAATGATTAGAATAAACTAACTAACGAGCTCTTAATCTAAGTTATTCTAATCAACTAGACCTCCTGATCTTAATTAATCACTTAATTAATTATATAAATTAATTAAATTAATTAATATAGGCCGAAGCCTCGGACCGGCGAACCGAGGCCTCGAAGGGTACTCGATAGACTATATACTAGCTAAGCGAGAGCCTCTATACTATATAAGATAAAGGATAGAATAGATAGTTAAATTAGGATAAAAACACTCTAAGGAGCCTAGAACTAGACGAGAAAACTCTACTATATAAGTAGGATTTAAGGTAGGTTATATAATTGTATATAAATTCTTTATACTAGTTATAATATTTAGTTTATAGGAACGTTACTTATTCTTAGTTAGTAAATTATCTATTATATTTTAACTCTTCTTTTCTCTCTTTATTCGCCTTTTAAAAGCTTCTCTTAACTATATTAGTAGTACTCTAAAATATATAACTTACTATTAATTTAATTAATCTAGTTAAATAAACGTCTCTTAGTGTGACGACACGTACGATATGTTGCTCAAGGAGCGTCCAAGGTGTAGGTTATGGAATCGTAGAACTGTCTATTCGAAGATTCTAAGCTAAGAAGAGAAGAGAAGAGAGCAGAGCTCGGGAGCCAGAGGTTCTTATATACAGGAGGTTGTGCCAAGCTATGGCTAACTGAGCCGGGCTCAGGAAGCACGGTATCCGCTGGGTTCCAGCCAGGGGCTGGTCTGAGGTGTAGTGGCGGTTAGAACCGTCACACTTAGTCTATTTAATTACCTAAAGTTCCTAATCTAATTTATATTAAATTAATTTAGTCGATTACTAATCGATTAAGTAATTAGTTTATTCTTATACTAGGAATTATAAGACAACTCTTCTAATATAATAAAATAACTATACTTCTAGGGCTTTAGTCCTAGCTGAGTGTGACGAAACTCAAACTATCTGACAAAGGTAATCGTTTCGACGGTTGGTATGCGGGTAAGAAGTACAGATGCGCCGGGTTATTTACTCGGAGGTAAACTCGTCACTTGTTAACAAAGAAGTAATAACTTAATAACTAGATTGCTAAACTAAGTTGAGCACGAAGCTCCTATCTAATGGCAGACGTGCCAGTCTTATATAGAACCTTCGTTCTCCTGGATCAGTGCCCGTCGCTCTGATCCTTTCTGACTCCTCAGAGGTCGTCAGGCCGATTACCTCTGATGCTAATTGATCACGTGACAATAACTAAAGGAAATCCTTGGATCGTCTAACTAACCTAGTCGATCCCTATTTAATAACTAAGTTGAGCACGAAGCTCCTATCTAATGGCAGACGTGCCAGTCTTATATAGAACCTTCGTTCTCCTGGATCAGTGCCCGTCGCTCTGATCCTTTCTGACTCCTCAGAGGTCGTCAGGCCGATTACCTCTGATGCTAATTGATCACGTGACAATAACTAAAGGAAATCCTTGGATCGTCTAACTAACCTAGTCGATCCCTATTTGCTATAAGAGCCATGATAGTGCTCAACCTGTCAGGGCGCCGCCTGGTCTTCACTTATCACGTGCGCGCACATGATTCGTGACACTTAGGAGTATATTAGAGTATATTCTTAGTAAGTGTATTAATTTTTTATATACTCTATAGGTGTATTTATATAGTAATTTAAGGAGGGGCGGAAAGTTAGTCTTTGTATCGGTCGTACGCTAAGACCTAACCCCGCTATCCTACCCTACGGTTATAAGAATTGACTTTTTACCCCTTCTTAGATTATAATATATAAACGCTTCTAAGTTATATAAAAAGCAGATATAACTACTAAGACTATACTAAAGTAGAATTCTACCATAGGGCTAAAGCCTCAGAATCGTAGTTGTTCTATAGTATAAGCATGTTGTTTTCCTAAGTTCCTGATTTCATACTTTTTTTAGTATTCCTGAAAATCACGTTTTTGACACGAGTTAGGAATATCGCTGTATGTGGGTCTTCCCGCATCGCTTTTACATGGACGGGTCTGGCCGAGTACAGAAAATTGAGTCTGCTCTCCAACGAAGACTTTCAGGTCTATTCTCCCCAAGACGAAGGATTGCTGAATACTCGTGGGAGTTTTCCAGAGGAAGAAGTACTGGTACCATCTTAACAGCTGGTGCTGAACCCAGCTCAACCACATATATCTCCACTTTTGATACGATTGCGATAAGCAAATTTCTCTAGCCTCGCTCGCCTCGACACAGCGGGGTACTCACCTCTAGCATCGTCATCTAATCGCCAATTCCCGCATTCACTCGCGACATCGGCAGTAAAATCTTTACATGTACGAAATCTATCTAATTCTTGAGGATATGCATCGTTCGAATAGCATTAAGGTCTCTCACGTCCAGGTAATTAATCTGTGCCCACAAAGGCAATGAACCGGTGGCGAAGTTGGTCAATCTGAACATCATCCAACCTTTCGTCAGGTCAAGTGCATCGAGAGGAGATGGTGTTCTGAATTGCGTGCTGGTGTCTGAGATTATACGGTTACACTTGATCAGGTTAATGCCTGCGAAAGAATCTTGCTTTGCCTTTACATCCCCAAGAACATGTACTGTTATATTGACTCAATGCTAACTTACTTGTAGGATGGCCTTGAATAACAACATGGCAGATGTTGAGAAAGAAGCAGTCTTGAATCCTAATTCCGAAAAGCTACCATCACCCGACGCAGCAAGGTTGAAAGCTTACGATGCCGCCACCAATGTCGAAGACGATGTTATTCCCAAAAATAGGTTTCTGGCATTGAGCTACAGACTCGAACAATTCCTGGGTTTCGAAGCTAGGGGAATAAGACGTGTTAAAGGAAAGGAACAAACGGAACAGACTACCTTGAACTTTTGGCAAATTGTTATGATGTGGTTCTCAATCAACGCAGCTGCACAAAATATTACGCTGGGTAGCATTGGGTACAGCGTTTTCGAGTTGGGTTTTGTGGATGCGACTCTTTGCAGTGTATTTGGTGGCATGGTTGGAAGTATACCCGTCGCTTATACAGCTGGTTGGGGACCTTGGAGTGGAAACCGGACTATGGTAAGTGTTTTTGCTATCTCATCCAATGACGGGATCTGACTGTGTTAAAGGTGTGCGCTCGGTTTTCTATGGGCTGGTGGCCAGTGAAACTCTGTGTTCTACTCAATCTCGTCATTCTCATAGGATACACAATGATTGATGCTGTTATTACCGGTCAAATTCTATCTGCGCTTTCTGCAAATGGGAGCCTTTCAATTGAAGTCGGCATTATCATATCTGCGATTTCGACATTCTTGGTAACCATATTTGGTATCAGAATATTTCATTATTATACTAGGTACTTATTCCTGGGAGCTCAAAAAGTTAAGCCCGTGTTTCTAATAACCTTTTAAGATATGCCTGGATCCCATCTGCAATTATGCTTCTCATCTTGCTGGGAACAACAGCACGAAAATATGACATCGAAACGCCATCTTTTGCCACTGACAAAACATTGATTGGCAACCGTCTTTCCTTCTTCTCAGTTTGTCTCTCTGCGGCAATCACTTATTCAGGAGGAGCCGCAGATTTCCTTGTTTACTGCGACCCAAAATCTGCCACACGATGGAAGGTTGGAGGAGCAACCCTGTTAGGCCTCTGGCTCTCATTCTCCCTCACCTTCATTATAGGTGCTGGTCTCTCATCTGGGCTCGCGAAGAACTCAAGCTGGGAGGCAGCCGGTGCAGGAAGCGGAGCTCTCGTTGTGGCTGGCTTTGACAGTCTCGGAGGATTTGGGAAGTTTTGCTCCGTTCTCGCTGCCATTGGGTTGATTGCAAACATGGTAGCACCAATCTACTCTTCAGGTCTCGATTTCCAAATTCTAGGACGATATACAGCAATCGTACCTCGATTCATCTGGAACACTGTGGCAGTAGTAATCTTCACCGTCTGCGCGCTCGCAGGAAAGGATGATCTCTCTGCGATATTCACGAATTTCTTAGCTTTAATGGGATACTGGGTCGTTCCATGGATAGCAATCACACTGGAAGAAGAATTCATATTTCGCAGGCGTGATGTTCCCACGTTTGTGTGGAACGATTGGGATCAGCCTTCTCGCCTCCCTGTTGGCCTCGCGGCCATGGCTGCGTTTTGTGTCGGTTGGGTGGGTGCTGTTTTATGCATGTCACAAGCTTACTATATTGGTCCATTGGCAAGGCCCGTGGGAGACTTTGGTGCGGATATGGGGAATTATGTTGGATTTGCATGGGCGGGATTGGTGTATCTTCCTCTAAGATATTTGGAAAAGAAGAAGTTTGGACGATAGACCAAAGGAACGAAAAAGGACGACACAGTACTGCGATATCGGTTTCAACACAATTTGGAGTGTAATAATTATTAACTAATTTGTAGGAAGAAGATAAAATGTTAAGAAAATCTCGCTGGCAAAGCGTAATGATAATATCCCCCGGGTTGCCATTATGTAAGCTTCCTCGCCCATTGACGTATATATATATATATCCATTTTCTCAACATCTTTTTCAGCAACATCAAGGACTGCCTTTGGAGACCGAGAAATCCTTTCAGCTTTTCAAATGCCCCATGCTCACGATTGCCATTTGGATCCCCCAGCTCACCTCCGCAACTAAGTGCCCAACGATAAGGAAACCTCGCCAGATCAATCTGATCTCTCGTGTCTGGATCCTCCCCAAAATGTTTTTCCCACTCCCAAACCGCCCTTAATTCCTTAATGGCCTTCCTATAACCGCCACGATTGATGAACTCTAAGTCGTTAGTGATCTGACGTTTGACTAGTTCTTCGTCGGTTTCGTAAACTGCGTTTGTGGGTATGTCGCCTTGAACCATGTTAAGAGCCACGAAGTAGTTCATCCGCTGTGCAATTCTTTTGTAACCGTTGTCGTTTAAAGGGGTGGGTGGGGGTAAGAAAATGTGAAGTTTTGAGGTGGAAAAAAGAATGTTTACGTCTGGATGTCTTTTGTAGGTTCGTTGGAATTCCGTTCTGTAGAGACCTTTAAGAAGGATTTTGTAAGGGACTCGGATTGGGAGTAAGGGGCTTTTTGGGGGGTCTCGGCTTGGCATCTTTTTATTTTATAAGTGTTGTCAGAGACTGAATGGTATGGAGGGAGGGAGAAAGTTTAGGAAATGGGTTGGGAGGTGAAGGGTAAGATTTCTTTTTAAATCTCATTGAGGAATGTGATGTGACTTGGGAATCAGGAATTATTAGATGTGAATGACATAAGATATTTGTTCAGAACACCAGTGGGTGACAGAATTCGTGGGACAGTACAACTTCTAAATTACGTAATCAAGAACACCAAAAATGCTTAGATATCATACCTTAATAATACATACTCTTTAAACCGTTCAAATGGACACTAACACGCCTACTCACAGTAGAGAGGACACGCCAGATCGTCAAATACACCACCGCGAAGCTACTGCTACCAAAAAGACCCGGTTTTACGAGGCCTGGGACGCCCGGCACGGCGCAGAAACACATAAGGCTATTGGGGCAGATTTGGGAGTAACCAGGTCTACGGCATCACGATGGCTCAAAGAGCGTACTCAAATAGGGTCTGCAGCATACCGGCGGACGCGGAAGAGGTCAAGTATACTTGGGAGGCGTCGTCTTATCTCAAAAGAGAGTTGTTTACTCCTTGTCAACCCAGCCAAAAACCCCGTCCAAAACCAGCACTACGAAGCTCAAATGAAATACCACAAGATCAAGGGTTCCGCCCGCACTCTACAGCGCGCTTTGCTCAGGCATACAAACAAGGCCCGTCGCTATAAGGCTGCGTACGTAAAGAAGAAAACCTCGAATACAAACCGGCAGAAACGGACAGAATACGGGAGGAAGTGGCAGTACAAGACAGTTGAGAACCATTGGCGTAGGGTTCTCTGGACAGACGAGGCACATATTGATCCTACCTCTAACGTTCAAGACTTCTACCTCCGTGAGCAAGGGAAGCGTTATAAGCCCGAATATATACAGGAAAGGGGGGAGAAACGGGGCGTACGGCTACACATCGCAGGGTGGTGTAATTGGCATGCCAAATGCGAGAAACTCCAGTTCTACCACGACGAAGAGGATGAAGTTATTAAAGCTAGGAAGCCTAGGAAGCCTCGCAAAACCAAGTACTGTACAGACGAGGAATATGCAGAGTTAATACTAAAGTGGGAGGCTGAATGCGAGGCACACGATAAAGAGGTTAAGCCAAAAGGGAACTCCATGACCGGCCTCTATTACGTAGAACGCCTTCTTCCTTTTTATATTGACGCAATTCAACACCTAAGGATTACAGAGGAATGTATAAACAGTAGTTGGCTTCTTCAGGAAGATGGGGACAAGTCTCATGGTATACAGAACCCAGATAGCCTTGCATCAGTACTCAAAAGGGCTAATTGGATCACGAACCTTGTCCACCCTCCCCAGTCCCCAGATCTCAACCCTATAGAGGCTCTTTGGAATATCCTTAAGCAAAGAATACGTCGGAGAGTATGGAATACAATTTGTGACGGAGCTGGATTTCATTTGACAGGATTTCATTCGCTTGGCCAAGCACGTGACGAGACTTGGCATTGGAACAACTTAAATAACTTCGCTCCTTTCAGATTCTCTTCTCTCTTTAGTTTGATTTCTTCGTACCTACGGTTTTAGTTCTAGCAATTGATTCAAAAGCTGTATACACTTTATCCTTTGTTGGCATCCGTGACACAATTGCGGAGCTTAAGGAGGTGGTTCAGGACGAATGGAGTAAGATTACAATGGAGGAAGTTCGTGCCCGTATAGCGGATATGCCTCGGCGATGTAAATTACTAGTTAAAACGAGTGGGAAGCCTATAAAGACTGCGAAGTGGTAATAAAAGTTTGAATAGTAGTAATTTTTAGTGTTCTTGATTACGTAATTTAGAAGTTGTGCTGTCCCACGAATTCTGTCACCCACTGGTGGAACAAAAGTATGGCAAATTTTAAAATATAGACAGCGTCTTCAGTGAATGGCTTAAATGCATGAAGCTCATTTATTAATCCTGTGATTGTTGAGTCACTTAGTACCATACAGGGGATTTACAATGTTGTTCAAGATCTCGCTTGAGGTGTAACACTCAGTCGCACTTTAGCAAAGCAGGGTCGTCCAGAAGAAGCTCAAGCTGTCGTCTACCCTATGAGTGCCCTTTGACATATCCACTTATCCCCTCAACTCAGTACCCATTTATCGCACAAACTAGAAATCAAGCCACCTCCCCAACCGGATCATCAACCTGCTAAACTTGTGACCAGGCTCAGGATCCCCTAACTCCGCCCCAAATTTCACCTCCATTGCAAACGGCTCTCTGATACCCTCACACCAAATCCTCGTTCCTAGATCGTTTCTCAATTTCCTCTCCCAGTCCCAAACCTCCCTCAACTCCTTAATCGCATTCTCATAACATCCTTCATTCATAAACCCGAGGTTCTTGCGAATTCCATCCCAGATGCTTTGTTCATTCCAAAGCTTGGTTTCGATTATGTTCAAAGAAATGAAATAGTTTAATCTCTGGGCTATTCTGTGGTAGCCGGAGGAGGAAAGGGGAGGTGGAGTGTTAAATTCCAATTTCATCTTGTCTGAGGTGGGAAGAGGGAGGGAGTTAGAGGGGTGGGTGTGGTAGGTTCTTTGGATTTCTGTTCTGTAGAGGGCTTTTAGGAGGGTTTGAGGCTGGGACTTGGGGGGTGGTTGGGGGATTGTAGGGCATCATGTTTCTTTTTCTTTTGTGGAGTGTAGAGAGTTTGAAAAGAGTAAGGAAATATGAAGAAGGATAAGAAGACAACCAGGTGAGATAGATGCGTTAAATGGTTTATGAAAATAAAAACTCGGATGTGTTTTTAATGATAATATTGTGACTTGACGGCGTGACTGGGTGTGATGGAGTTCGGCTGTGAATGATAGATATATTTCCCTAAGACAGTCGATAATACATCTACCTAGTTATGATTTCTACAGAGTAGACTTGGTGATAATCCACAAGTATTTAAGGCAATCCAATAAACAATTACTTGTTTATTTAGTGAATCTAAGACAGTCCTTTCAATATTTATTGTTTCTAGATCCCTGTGACAGACGTGCTTCAGGTAGAACTCAGAACAATTAACACTCTATTCTTAGGACAAAAGACGAGGAAAGAAGGAGAGCTCAAGAGAGCTGGGAACTAAATACAGGTCGTGCGCGCTAGCGCCTCGCTAAGCGAGCATGTGACATCCAGCCCTCGTGACCATAACCGTCACAATCCCCTCCTAACACAAAGAGAAGAAAGGGGCGGTTGACCTTAAGATGTGCGACTAGCTGTTTCCTTTGTTTGAAACATAGATTCCGAGTATGGTTCTTTATTGTTAGGTGACTCGCTTAGAAACATCCCTCGGAAGTCTTCCAACATGTTTTCTCGGATTTCTTGTTAAAAAAAGAAAGCACAACCCAAAAGCAGGCCGTAGTTCCTTCAGTTGGATGACGTTCAATGGTTTCTTACTTGAGATTTCAGTATTGGTTTGACCTCCAATAATTTGATCTCTCCACATTCTCTTATAATTTCCAATGCTTGGATCAAGTAAAGACACCCATTTTCTTGACGAAGGTCCTCAAAACGCTCCCCACCCACGCCAGTGTCCCTTCATATCCAGGGTCTCCTTTCTCAGTCCCATATTTCACTTCTCCGACATACGGGTACCTCAAACCCCTACACCACTCCCTTACTTCAGGACCCTTATCATTCATCAAACTTTTCTCCCACTTTCACACCTCACTCAACTCCTTAATAGCCGTCCCATAACTGCCTTTATTTACCATCTTCCAATTGCTTTTTATTGAACTGGTGACAGTCCATTTGCTTTCTACCCGATCGTTGTTTCTTTCCCGTATAAAATCCAAAGCGCGCAAGTAATTCAATCTTTGCGCTATTCTTTTGTAAGCGTCGGGCTCCAGCCGGGGTAAAATCGGTTCCATGGTGATGTAGGGAAACTCTTTGGCTTTTGGTGGTGGTTTATGGTATGTTCTCTCATACTCGATGCGATAGAGGGCTTTGAGTAGGGTTTTGAAGGATACCTTTGGATCTGAGAGTGCAGGTCGTCTATACGTGGACTTGGGTTCGAAAGTGGATTTTGACTTTGATATTCTGATTGCGGTTCTTGGTGCGCTGATGGTGTTGCTTGTTAGGGATAACAAAATTACGAAATTGTTCTTGGTGAGAAGCTCAGATTCAAAAGAGTTCCAAGTAGGGATCAAGTTGATCGGAGGATCTTGTGAATCACAAAACTGGTGCCCGAAAAGCTTTCTTGATTACCCATTCAAACGCCAAATTACCTATTTATACTCCCAGCGCTAGTATGATGACAAGTAAATGAACGGCATTTGCGTTTCTATAAAAGCAAATGTGGCTTGAATACAAGATTTGATTGAGGCAAGTGAATCACGTTAGTCATTTCAATTCTATAATGGCAATACGCAATTCTTCAATAATATTCACTTACCCTTTCGTGAACTACTGTGACGCGAGTTAATGTAAACACAGTTCACCAATACTGGCATCAGCGGCATGGTAGCGCGACAGGGATGACCCTCATAGCGAGGAGGCCAATACTAAGGAGGCCAGTATTTGAGAGGGTATTACCGAGGCCTCTTAGTGTCTTTTTGGTGAAAACTCGATCTGAACTTGCCCCCCAAATCCTCCTTTCCCGATACTTGTGGTGAATTCACATGTGGCACTTTGTAGTGGAATCGATGTCGCTAACAAGCTTTGTTGTTTAATGCTCTGTGACAAGCCGAGATTCATTCTTGGAAAAATAGTTATATACTTAAAGTTGTAGCCAGCACTTTCTTTTAAACCCTGAGGATAGCGATCATCTTTCTTAAATAATACAGACAAAAGAGACAGGGAAAAGTTAAGCATAATCTGATAAATGGTACAAGAGTGGCGCTTTATTTATTCTGAAGCAGGATTATAGACTTCTCAGCTTGATAGTCTTTCCTGTATATGAATTATCCTTATTCACCCTTATCAGCAAAATCTCAGTTAAAGTTCAAACTAAGGATTAGATCAGCATTCACCTGTATTTGGTAAGTTGAGTCAGAATATGTATCACCAACTGCCTGCCAGTTTAAGAGAATCTTTTTGGGAGCGACAGGTAGTCGTAATGTCGCTTTATAATAGTGAATGATTATTAGTTAGTTCCGAGCGTAGCTACTCCTTCGGGACTAGCGTGCTCGCTAGCGTATTATGGTATCTATAAGTACGTAGGGACTTAGCTAGCTACACTTGCTTCGGCATGCAATCTCGAGACTTAGTTATTACCTTGGTAATATAGGTATTTCGCATCACTCACTTGACGGAATAAGTCAAACCAACACGTAAACAATCCTCTTTCTCAACAACCATACCCTTCCACCACACCAGCGCAGACCAAACCAGATCAACAAGATCCACAAGAATAAGCACAACCATAATAAAAGATACATCTCTCACGATCTATTCAAATGATGCCTCGAACAGAGACAGAAATGCAACACAAGTACCCAAAACTGGCGATTATCAAGGCTCTTTACCTCTGCGCATTCGACAATACATACCGCTGCCACCCCTCTGCCTCACACCCGCAATACCTGTACAAATCAGTACACCTTGGCTGGGATTCAGTCATAGAGATCGCCCATCAAATAAACGCCTTGCAAGGTCTAGGCCTTCTATACGATACACCTACAGCTGGGGAGAAGAGAAAGAGAAGAGGGAATAAACCGGTGCACGAGACAGACAAAAGTGTCTATGAGAAGCTTCAGAAGATTGATTTTACATTAATGAAGGGGAGGGAGGAAGGAGCTGGGGATCGTCAAATCCTTTGGATGCTGGCGGAGGCTGATGAGAAGAAGAAAGTGATTGAGGAGAGAGTGAAGACGTTGAGAGCTAGAGTCAAGAAAGAGGAGGGGATTATTCTTTGGACCAACGGGAGACCTTTCACATCTATGGAGTCTAGAGCGGTGGCTTTGATCGAAGGATATCCGCCGCAGATTGGATATCCGCAGTATGGATATCCTCCGCAGATTGGATCCTTTCAGCAGGAACGTCAGAAGATTGGATATCCGCATATTGGGTATCCTCCGCAGACCTTTCAGCACGAACATCAGACGATGGATGTCCTCCGCAGACTGTTAAGCAGGAACGTCAGAAGATAGTCATCAAACTCAAGGTCATGAAAGAAGAGTATATGTAACATCAAAGGGACAATCAAAAGTTGGCAAATGACGGAGAAGACCGAAAATGGAAATGTGGAGGAACAAATCTGTGGAGTGACCTGAATATTGTACCGCTGGAGAAACTAAGAAGGTGTATTGTGTAGATGGAGGTTTGGGGGTCTTCGATAATCGAGGAACAGTACCTAGGTATGCTGTGGATGTGAATGAAAAACTCTTACTGCATCTTAATACGATACCGTTCATATTGCATAGTCGTGAGTTTTACCATATCGTTGAGTAGAAAGAGCAAATTGTTCTCCTGTCCCATAGGGAGACATGCCTTTCGCCAACTCAAAGGCTGATTGTGTAGTTTAGTCTAAAATGAAATAAGCTGGTACCCCTCGCCTCCTTGATGTACAACACGTGCTAATGGTGAAATCCCTCGCTACCATCAGTAACTCCATACATGAGACTAAGACTTCATACATTTACGTCTGTTATTCTGAGATGATTATAGGAACCCATAAAGCCAGCGAAATCTTTGCAACTTTGTCATTATTATGCCATGTGCCTAGAGCTGTGAAGTGTGGTCGGATAGCACAGCCACTGTTGGGCTTTTGTTGGTTATGGTAAACACCTCATGCTTGAACTTCTTATTCCAATATGGACTTCGAAATAAATTTGGATCCTTGTCATGATACAAAATAGTTACGGCAATTTGGTAGGATGCGTTCCGCTGAGATGACCACAAAGGTCGCCCCTGTTCACCTTTCTCTCCCTCAAGAAATCCGTAATACGCCCTACTGTATTACGCTTGTATCAGAATCTCAGATTTTTGCTTGGGAAGGGAAACAGAAACATGATTTCTTCTATCACGATCAAACTCAGCCGGTTCTTCGTATCTCCTTACCTACGTAAAAGTCCACCTCCCTCAATAATGGTAAAGTGGAGAGAACGCGAAAGGAAAGTTACATCAGTAACTCTTGAATCTTTCGGCATCAATATATTGATCTGCAACGCCAGTTTGAGCCGCGAAGCGGCTATGAGTTTTTACCAGATGAACAAGTTTGACTTCCTAAGCCAGCACCATTGGGACCCGATTGTTTCGTGGTCTACATCTATGGGATCAAACACTCGCAGCCTTCTCATAATTATCAAAATAAACGGTTTCACATCTGACCAAGGCTATCAAGTTTCCAGCGGACCAATATTTCGATATTATGGCACAGAGAAAATTTGTATCCATGGCATCCCGTATTTACACCTCAGGTGCAAAAGACTGCCTCTGCTACGTAGTGATGTCGATAATATAGATCTTGCTGCGGTGAGTATCTTCGAGCTACTGGGAGCCAACATGTCAGAAGAAAGAGTCACTATCATGATTGCCCTGTAAAATCAAATCTGGATCGAATCCAGATCCAGATTGAATCCAACAGGTGCTGAGCCGCAAAACCTTGTTATAGCATGAATTATCCAAATTTGTTAAGAGCGTTCCAGTCACTGTATGCAGAGTGGTGCTATGGATAGGCACAGAACGTCGAGAAGAGTTGGAAGACCAACGAAATGTCATTGAACATATCGGGTGGAACATGGTCTTGGGTCCATCTTGGGTCATGTTGATAGGACAAAGTCTGTCTAATACCAGAGTCTCATGGTTGCCACATTCACAATGCAGCCAATGAGAGCAGAATCGCCAAGTATACACTGGGAAGGGACGATTTAAAAGGACGGGTCTTTGCTGCGGGTCCTTGTGCTTTTGGCTCCTGGGCTTCTGATCAGGAGACTTTAAATATAACATGCGTTGGATGTAGTTACCCCCAATTGCACAATATCTCGTCCAGTATTTTCCCAAGGAAGAATATATTCATACCGTTACTTGAAAATTTGAAATTGGCTCGCCTTGAATCCCTCTGCGACCTCATATTTTCGTCGACTAGACTCAGGTCCTCTGGACACCTTTTGAGAACTATCCATGTCCAGGATTACCGAGAAAGACAAACAGAGAGTTATATCGTATCCAAGATTGGAGACGAGCTTACGGTCTCCAAGATAGAGAGAAAGAATCAGACTGTACCAAAAAGCTTCCAAAGTCGGAGACGAGAAGAAATGCTTTCATGCAGGTGGTCACCCAATCATCCCAATGAGGCGGACGTCGGTTAGGCCAACCGAGAAATATAACACATCAACCAACTCACTACTAACTGCCAAAACATCACTGACCGAGATACAGGAGTTTTCAAAGAATTCCACCATTCTTGAAATGGATATATCACATATTTGCAAAGAATATCGAACAAAGAAGGCAAGCGGTGAACACTGGAAGTTTATTCCAATGGCTATATCTTGGAAAAGTATAAATTACTGCTAAAATCCTCACTCACTGGTTCTGCAAGCCTCAGATTCGTTTCCACCTTTCAAACTTGCCGCCTTTCGTTTTGCGGAAACCAAATGTCGGTCGAAGAAAATCCTAAACTCTATGAAATTACGAGGCTGTTATTTCGGGTGGAACTCAAGAATGATTTCCAAGGTTACAACCTACGTATTTGGGGACCGCCACGTAATGAAAGGCACAATGAATCATTTGAGAAAATGGCATGGTATCTCAACAGTTTCAAAAGACTACGTGTAATAAAAGATGATAACCAAGCAGTTGAAGATTCAAAGTCTGCGCGAGAAAGAGCCGAGCTTCATATGGACTATATCTTGAAGGGCCCCCTCGAAGTGGAATGGGAAGCATTGAAAACTTCGGCAATGGAACTGAATCAAGGATATTCCGGAAGAACACCTTTCACTATGGGAAATGGGGGAGCTGCCGGGGGCGAGGGGCACGAATTATCTTCCAACTAGGGAACAAAACTGGGTGATATAGCTGGGAGGTAGATAGGGTGGGGAAAGCTTCTCGAGGCAATAAACACCAAGTCTCCTCGTTTCTCACTTGTCGTGTGTGACTAGAGTGAGAGCTGACAAGAAATACGAGAATATCAGAGAGTGAAACTGGAAACTTGCAATCATGGTGCGCTGAAATTTCTAGAATAGGTATTCAACATACTACGTCCTAAGTCGTTCGTTACTGTTGAGTTTGTTTTGGATTTTTGGTCTTTTGCAATGTCTACTTATTAGGAAACAATCAAAGATATATATGTCATACATATGCTTATACATGCTGTGCGTTTCATTCGGATGCTGCAATCATAATACATCTTGTTACTGAACTCATACATTTAGCCAGTCTGCAGTTAGCGGGAGGGATACTTTCAACTCAACGAGAAGGGGCGTTTAGCGTGGAATATAGCATATCTTAAACAGTTCCATCAGTCGTTGGAAAAGAGCTTTCATGACTTGAGAGCTACTAAATGGAAAACGCATTGATTATGCAAACTCTGCAACCCTCAACTCCAGATTTGCTGGCAATCTTTCCAATTGGCAAATGGCACGAGACCGATGATTTTCACATGCCCCATTTCATGAGCAAAATGGCAAATATGAGCTTGGCAGAAGTAGTAAACGTTACCCTTTTCATGATTTCACAGCTAATTTTCCGATGACATACCACACAAGAAAAGTGAAATGAGTGAAATGCGCAAGCACACACAAATATGTGTTGAAGCCCCTGGAGTGGTGCTTGTAGCATTCAGAACAGGAGCAGGCGAAAGGAACTACCGTCGTGTTTACGGCTTATCGATAGAAGTGAGACATGGCTTTGACTCTAGGTGGAACAGCAAAAACAAATCACCATATACACCGGACAATAAAACACATCGACAAGACACTCAAAGATATCAACTACTATGTTTATGACCGACCTTCAAGCTCCCAGCCCCGATTCTTGCCAGAAAAACGGAGCTGGGACGCCTTGATTAATATATAAATATCCGCCGAGCCCCAAAGTCTATATTAAACACTAGTCTAATCTATCTTCTCCAACAAGAATATACACAACTTTCCAACCTCTTCAATATCATATTATGCTAGTCCTCAATTCTGCTTCTTAAACTTCGTTGCAATCTCCTCCTCACTGAATTTGCGAGTCTTCAATTTCAACATGGCAGCTAATTCCTCTTGACTCATTCCAATTTGAGAGCCCATGGGAACGAGTTTGGAAGCGAGATACATGTAGTTCTTGGTCAAGATGCGGAATGTGATCTCTAAGTAGTCGATGTTTTGGAACACAAGAGCTCCCTCTTTAGAGTAGCGATCCTTTGCGGCGAGAAATGCTCGAGGATGGTCTCGCCAGTGACGGAGTGGGTTGAGGTGGTGTGAAGTATGGTAACCATCATTGAAGCAGAAGCGATTCGACTTGAAAACGGATCAGTAACGATTAGATTTGGGAAGGGGGTAAAGAATGACTTACTGGAACGTCAATCAAAGTGATGCTAGAACGGAAATCAGAATTAGGGTCGACATCGTCAACAAGTGCATGTTGTCCCCAGTTTCCAATCATGAGACCGATGCGGAGAATGACGAATGGTAGAAGTATGGCGAATAAAGCGGGCTTGAAATTCCACTTTGCAAGAAAATACATCATCGCATATGAGGATTGCTCAGTGCAAGTGATTCGGAATGCCAAGTTGTACTTTTTCTTGCTTATGAAATAGCGGGGTAAATCAAACCAACAGAGCAACAAGAATCTGATTTCATAATGGAGAAAATCCCAGATGGAATCGCGCTGATATCGAATCGTGGACGACAGATCATCCGGGCCGTTCCCTTCGACGTGGTGGGCTTTACAATGATGGTAGTAGTAAGAATCCCAAGTGTGGCCCATGAGTGGCTCCAAGACATATGGGAAGGCCCAATCAAAAGCTGCATATTTCTTAGACAGAACGCCATTGTTGTGAATGTGGTTGTGCATCATAAGAGTGAAGCCTCCAGAGCACCAAACGATGTAAATGATATGAGCGAATCCGTGCCACAAGTGAAAGTCGTAGAAGAGATATATGGCGCTTGGTAATGCCGTTGTGAAGTACATGATGATGTGTGAGAGAAAGACGACATCGGTCTGATGTCGGACCACGGTTCTTGCCCATTTTACGTACTTCTGCAAAATAGCCTCGTGAAAGTTGCGTGGACTCTTTAAATCATTCAAATCATGATCCCAAGATGAGAATATGGTCGGCTGGAAGTTTTGGTGTTTTGGGTCCGCAAGGTTTTCGAGCTGTTTAATTGCAGATTTATCTTGAGCTGGTGTCGTAGTCTTGCCAGTTCTTGCTTTTTCGTCTTCAGCATTGTTCAAGTCATTATATAACACCTCAAGAACGATCTTATCTGAAGGCGTAAAGAAGTTTTTGTCCGGAGCTCTGGAAGTCGCAATGCTTGTAGTGCAAGTCGTTGCCATGTTTGCGAATGAGTCCTGTGGTGTTTAGGCTGGGAAAATCCAAGGCTTGGCGGGCTAGGCGAGGGAGACGAGGGAGGCGAGTGAGAACTTCTATCTATCACTGCAATTGTACCCAGAACATGATATACAATCGAGGGATCTGGAGATTCGAGAGCTTCAGTATTTCGAAGAGGAACTGCGCGGCAGAGAGGCTGAATTGGGTGCAGTGCTAGGATTAAAAGGCAGGGTAAGAGCGATCAGGGGTAGTAGCACGTGATATTTTGATTCCGGACCACTTTGATGAATGAGCATCAACAAGAGACAGATGGGAAAATATAAAGAAGTTTTAGGACGAAATTCGAGTCTGGATTTGTCAATGACAAGAAGAGCTGTGATGTAGGTATTTTGCGATTAAAATCGAAGGTTGACGAGGCAAGGGAGACGGTCTAGGAAAGATTCTTGAGGCCACGCCACCTCCGAATCGTGTTGAAACAAAGCGTTTGTCTCCACTATTTGTTTCCATTGACCGCAAAAACATAATTGTTTCATAAATATGCAATGGAGCTCGAGCGTGCACAAAAAAAGGAAACAACAATGGAGTCCAATCTCACCTGCAGATATCACCCTCAACCAATGAGCAGTTTTACACGTGATAATATCGCCAAATACAAAACATGCTTTCTGTGATATATGGCAAATCGGAAGCCGCTTATTAGAGATTAGGGAGCGAGTCTCGTTAAAGTTGGGTGCACAAGCGAGGGCTAACAGATACGGCAAAGCTTGGTTGTGCACATGTCACATGACTGCCTTCGTTTGAGTGATCTACGCGTAGCTTGAACCAAAAATGATTAAAAAAAAGGGAGAGAAAAACATGGGGTCTGATAGTACGGTATTTAGAAAATATCTTGTCTGTTATTAGAAACTAGAAAAATGACTCAATGGGTGTGAGACAATCAGTCTTCATGACAACAGCTTGGTCCTAGGCGAGATTAGATCATCTATTCTTTCGAGCTCAATGTTCACTAGATTGAAAAAGTTTCTTTTCCTTGAGAGGATATTTTTAAATGTGTATTAAGCAAGGGTAAAAGTAGACTTGAGGTGTTTTTGTACCCGATCATGTTACAAATAAACCTGCAGGATCACGCTGGTTGTTGTGGTGATTTCGAGAAGTCCAATTACTTCAGTTAATTTTAAGAAGTAAAACTAGGAAAAGAGTATTGACTATCATTCCTCGTGTCAAACTTGACACACGTATCATCTGCCACATTTGATCCTCTAGGCAGGAATAACTTTAGCTTTCTTCGTTCTCTCAAAAGCCGTAATATACCCCTCAATCGTAGGGGCACTTTCCATGAAACCCACTTCTCTCGAGGCCGTAAGATCATACTCTTTATCAAACACCCCCCACGCAAACACAGCACCCAAAACATCCCGCTGGAATTCTTCACGAAGCCTTTCTCGAGACCATTGCTTTCAACCCAAGTGCCCCAATTATCTTTCTCTGCCATCACCCATTCCACACCGTTAAGGTTTCCTTCAGCCTGGGGTCCGACACCTTTCAAGCCGAAGTAGGCACATACATCAGGCCATAGCTTTTCCCAAGTCTTCAAATACTCATCAGCAACGTTGACAGCTTTACCAGCGACCTTTTCGGGGTTCAGACTGGCAAAGATATGGAATCTCGCAAGGATGTCTTGGGAGGTATCACTTTGCTTCACTTTCCAACTCATTTCATTTCCAGGGAATGCAATTTCAGTCCCTTTGCCCTCTACAGAAGCATACATAGACAAGAATACTCCCAGGGCGTGTAAGAAACCCATGCCATTGGGTCGTGGAGTATGTCCCATGATTAGATCGGGACGGATCTTACAATGTTTCCATGACTTGTCTTTACTTTCCGAGGCCAGAAAATCTATCTGCGGATAGTAGAAAATATTTGACGCAGAAGGCTCTGGAATTCGTGGGGAGGTTTCTTTGAGAGGAAGATCCCATTGAACGCCCGGTTGACCATAGAATTCCACACCATATGCCTTGCCACCAGTTTGAAGAGTCCAGAACTCAAGGTTTAGACACAGGTTGGTGATGGCTTTTACGGCAGTCTCTAGTGTAAGCACACTTACTTCCTTTGAGATCTGAAATTCAGATCCATGAGCTGCGTAAGCTGGGCGAAATTATCAGTAAGGGTTTGGGGGGGAAGGAAGATGTACCACAAACCTGCATAAAATACGTGTGTCACTTCCTAGATTCCATCAATTTCTTGAAGCTTTCTGATGACATTTTCCACTCCAGATGTCAGGTCAATCCCATCATAGACATCTAACTTTTGAGATTCATCTCCTTGAAGAAGAAAAGCGTCTTTGCCTAGTGGTTTGTTTGCTAATGCTATGACGCGAGAGAAGGTTGAGAAAGAGCAAGCTGTTGCGATTGCCCACTACCAGGTATTAGTATTATCTTTTTAATAATTCTAATGAAATCAGAATTGAGCCTAAGTAAGAAGAAGAAAGGTTTCTCTTATGGTTACAAGAATCGACACCTAAAAGAAAGACGATGAAAAAGGCACCCACGAACTCCTGAGATTCTAGAAGCACCAAAAACGAGGGCCTGTTTGGAAGACATTCAAGCGTGAACTATGTATTGAATATTACGATGATTTCGAATGTAGTAATGAGTGAGTTCATTTGTGTGAAGGGTTGAGCAACTGCAAAAAAGTTGGTCTCTATGTGCTTACATTGCATGTTGGAGATCTGTTGGAACGTACGCCGCAAAGAGGCCCATCCAAACACAACCATCCTCTTGATCCTCGTGACAATAATCGAACAGAGTTTTTGCGCATAATACTCGTCTAATAAGGGCATGTATTCAAGTACCCTGTTTTCTTCACGTGCCTGCTGTTGCAGATGCCCATATTTAGAACCAACAGGACCAACAGAGCCCCATCGTGAGTATAATAAGCAGTGAAAAGTAACAATTATTCTAAACTATTCCCATAATGTTTTTAGTCAAATGAGGTCTTTAGGATAATATTTTTGTAACCTAGGTGTTTACAGAGTAATGCCCGCCTCTCTTACCGATTCCTCAATCCTTCCAAGAACGCGAAGCTCTCTACATTCCTTGAACAAAATTCCCATACTTGCCCACCGTCTCTTATCCTTCATCTGAACCCCGCATACCATGATAGCTAAGGCTCTGTTTACTCAGAATATTGCATCTCAATATCTAGTGGGCTCTAGTGGGGACACGCTAATGCATGTACCGTGGGTCCTTAATCCACACTTAGATCTACAACACTCGAGAGTCAAGCGAGGCTTACGCGAGGACTCTGCTTCAGGCCACGTACGCTATAGCTACAGGCTCTTATACTCTCTATTAGGGTACTAAGACCCTAGGACTTTATAGTACGTCTATATAAGCTAGTATATTCGATAGGGATTTATTACTTTAGTCCCTAATACTAAAAATTAAAAGTTAAATAAAAATATTTTTCTTATATTAGAGCTATACTAGTATAGGAATAGCCTAGAGGTAGGAAAAGGTATATAAATATATAGGAATAGGGGTATATATAGTCGTTCGTGGACTATTTTAGTATAATATTAAAGACGAAAAACACCTCTAGAGGTCTATGTTACTTTTACTACTAAAGTAATATAGCGGAGCAATATTAAGTAAATTAAATATATAATCTATAGTATCTATACGTAGACGGATTTTACACTAGGCTAGAAGAAGCATAAAGCGCTCCGAGACGTCCTTTTACGGCTACTTTCGTGGAAAATTAGGAGGATGTTAAGGTATAATATTCTGAGTAAACAGAGCCTAAATGTCTTGACTACCCCACCATAGAGATTCTCGCGGCATCACTTTGATCGTCATCATAGCCGTGATGTAGCCGCTTACTGCCATAGCAGTTGGGATCCGTATATGGGCGAGACAGATAAAAAAGGCAGGCTATGTTTTGAACGATTACTCAATATTCCTTGCATCAGTAAGCTCGTCAAATATGAACTTCAAAACGAGATAAAACTCATCTGAAATAGCTATTTGGGACCGCGCTACTGGGTATCGTCATGGCAGGTATGTTCTTTTCCGTTAATGAACAAATTTTCATGGCGAAGGCAAGAAAAATATCAGATACAGAGAGATGAAATTCAAAAGCTGACATCGGTAGGCAATAGTAGCCCGCCAACCACTATGGGCTCTCGCCAACACCTGCAACAAAAACACGATTCTCAATCTCTATGCGACATTCTTTCGGACCAGACAATTCCGTATACTGTCTGACACAACAATGGCACTTGCAATCTACCTCGCAGGCGTCATAACATTACAAGCGTCTCTAATATGCCGACCGTTAGCTTAGAACTAGGATCGCACAATTGCAGACGGAAAATGTAGAAATCAAGCTTCTGTTTTCATGAGCGATACTGTTGGTTTGGCTTCTTAGGTCCGAAAACTGGATATAATCTTTGTATATTCTTATGGGTTCTAAAAGTGTGTGTGTGTGTGTGTAGCTAGCTACTATTATGTGGTGGTGTTGTGGACTACTGTCTTAGACAGTACCACATGACTACCCCTCCTTGCGACAACGCAGATATCGCGGCAGATACATTCATCAATTCTGTCATCGATTTAGCTATCGTGTTTACCTATTCCAAGTCTGTGGAAGTTGTAAATGCCGTTGGGGAGAAAGGATCAGTTTATCTTATGTTCAGGGGTATTGTAAGCAACATCCATCCTAAAACTTTGCAAAGAAAGTCTGCCTCAAAATGTTTTGATTCTTGTTAAAGTCTTTTAACAACTCACAAGTGAAAAAGTAGAATTTGGAAATCGTCGTGGGATTGTGATATATATCCAATCACCTGACGGTTTACTATACCAAACAACCCTACGCTAGATAACCCCCACAAGATTCAAGGCACAAGAACACAAAAACGAATAAAAGAATGGTATCCCCCCAAAACACCCGCCAAAACCTCCACCTGACCAAAACAAACAAAAAACAAACTTACTACTTCGAAACCACCACCCTCTCTTCTCCCTTCTCCCCCTTCTCCCCCACAACCTCAGGCGGCGTCCCACCACCCACCTCCTTCCCCTCCACAAACCTCGCCACACTCCCATGATACGCCCCAGGATGTTTCTCGCCCGTAACATCCAACCAAATAGCCCTCATCGTATACGCCAGACCCTCGCGGCCCTCCCAGACGGGATAAAGTCCCACGGCACCGAGCGACCCAAAGATCCAAATAATCCCCACGACCACCCAGCCCGTGAAGAACTTCTCGGAGAAGATGTACCCGGAGCCGTACATGGGCATGGGCCAGAGGATGAGGAGGGCGATGGTAAGAATGAGGGTGGTGATCTTGGCGATCTTCGAGGCGCGGAGGAGGTTGGATTGTTCGGCTGCTTCGTCGGCGGCGGTGGTCAGGCGTTCGCCGGGGACGAGTTCGAGGTCGATGTGTGCTTCGGCTGCGAGATCGTGGTCGTCGCCTTTGCGGATGGCGGCCATGGAGAGCCAGTCGTAGTTGTCGACTCCAAAGATGAGGGTGAAGATCGGGGTGAAGATGAGGGGCGAAAGGAGGGCCATGACGTTTCCGGCTAACATGGGGTTATTGGAGCCTGTGCATTCGACGTCGAGTTTTCCGCAGGTTTTCGAGGCGGTCACTAGCCAGGCGATGAGGGCGCATGCTAGACCAAGGGGTGGAGTGAGGACTGCGGCCCATTTGTTTTGGCCTTTCCACATGATCGTTAGGGTGGCGGGGATGACGGCTGAGGAGATTATTACGCCCATCATCACGTAGAGGTAGCCCATGGAGATACCTGCGTAGAAGACTGTACAATGGTCAGTGAGAGTTTATGGTTATGAAAGAGGGAATACATACGACCGACCGAGAAAGCAGCCATGAATAGACCAAATCCCACAACCATAGCATGAGACATGTATATAAGTCTCTTTCCACTAGCGCCTGGGTTGAAGTACGTTTGGTAGATATCATACGTGAAGATGGATGATACAGCAATCAACTCAGCTGAACTGGCAGATGTGACGGCCATGAAGACGATTAGCAAGACCGCTACAGCACCACCTTGTCCAAGAAGTGCAACAGCGGCATATGGAACGACTAGACCAGCAGATACATCCGCATCGTCCATACGATTTGGGAATGTTGGGAATGCTGGATTTCCTTCGAGAGCAAGAGCTGCGAGACCCATTGTAGTTGCCATAAGCCAGGGGATAGCAAACCAGGAGATACCTCCCATAATGTAACCTGGGAGAGCATGGACTGGAGAAGCTGCAATTGCCTTGTTGTAGTAACCATTATCGAGGAAAACACTATTGCAAGTTAGATCTTCACATGGTCTGGAGAAAGTCGTTGAGGGAATGAACATACGTTCCAAAGTTCCCAACAATATTGATGACGAAAAAGATGGCACCCTCCGTAGATCTCATAGTCAAGTAACTCCCACCAGCGTTACCTTCAACTGGATGATCCGCAGCAGCCTTGACTAAAAGATCAAAAACGGCTTTTGGCGAGCCCAAGATATCGCTAGATGCGTAGGTGACAAGCGAGAAAATGATGATGATGATCAAGAGGATAAAAGTGTGTACCTGAAATAATATTAGAAAGTTGACAGAAAAGTGTCTAGCGTTTACTTACCCAGTCAGTAAGAAAGGTCGCTTTGATTCCTCCAAACATGGTATACATTGCTACACCCAAAGGCAACAAGAAACAAGCAGCAGCCGTAGGCATTCCCGTCAAGGAATTGACTACAGCCGAGCCTCCAGTCAACAACATAGCAGTAACGAGAATATTCGTCATCAGGCCAAAAACCGTGAAAGTGATATGAGCATAGACCCCGTATCTCGCCCTAATAATCTCCAAAAATGTCTGCACCAATTAATTGGTCTATCCGCTCCCAAAATTGGGGAAGTAAGTATAACTCACATGCGCATTCGGTGCTCTTCTCTTCAGCTCAATAGCAATAGTAGCAAACAATAAAATCTGCACAGTCGCCCCAGAGGCATACCAGAAAGGACCAGAAACACCATATCGATAAGCAATACCCGAACTCTGAAGAAGAGTCGCTGCCCATGTCCAAGAAGATACAACTGCCGAAGCGACCAATCCTGATTTCACCGTTCTCCCCGCCGTACTGAACATTTCAGAAGTTTGAAGTTCATGGTTATATCGTTTAAGGATCCAGGTAACGAGGATCTGATTTGAAGTAAAAACGATTAGCAAACAGAATTGAAATTTGGAACTGAGAGGATAAGAAAGACCATACCATTCCAAATGCGAAAACAGCACCCAGCCCGAGAACAATTCCATATCCCCATCCCTGACTAAGAGGGGGTGCGATTGGCATCTTTGCGATTTCTGTATATGTTGTGAAATGCCTCCCTTCCAAGTTGGCCTTGATCTGAGATATCAGAGGACAATTTAGATGGGGGAGGCGAAAGATAATATAGCCTTGCCCAACCCCAAGCAGGCTCGGATCTCCAGCCTCGGGGGTGGGGGAGGTGGAAGACCCATGTTAGTAAAAATGTGTCGATTTAGAAGAAAAAAAAGTGAAAATTACTAGTCAGCCCGCCTCATAAGTAAAGGATAGAGAATAATGGGATGTTACTGGATGAAACATCACGACTGTCGTGTGTAGGGCAAAAAAATGAGGAGGAGAGTTCCGGTACGCCTGTACTATTGCATGATGCCGTGCCATCTGATATGCGTCTAGATCGATACGATACTTGCGGCTTCGGAGAGGCGCTATGGGGGAGGGGGGCTTGTGAAAATGTCTACAATTTTTTGATAATGGAATTTCATAGGGAGAGATAAGAAAATAGTGATGCTATCCCGGAGTGAGTAATGGATACTACAACCGCAGTAGTGGGGAGCGAGGCGGGGGAATGCAGTAGCGTGAACACCTACATGGTAAGCGAAGGAGCTTGGGCCCCTGAGTTGAGATCCTTGGGATATCATTGGATGGCGAGTTTGTTATCATATAGATAAGGTAGACGACCAGAGGACCTTGGATTTGATAGCATTTTGATGACCGGAGGGAGTGAGAATGCCGATCAAAAGAACAATTCCAACACAGAGAGAAATAGCATATTGAAACTCAGTCAAGTGATAGATACAAAGTGACATGGTAATTTCAGCAACTGTTTCTCAAACATCAGTATGACAAGACCGAGTAACACCCCCAGATGTCAGACAAGGTGGGATCAGCGGTATGCTCCGGCAGATAGAAAGGTAGAGGATGGGAATTCCGTCTCAGCCACCACATTGGCTGGTTCATTTCAAAAGTGAGGGATGAACCCAGAGCAAAGCAGACTCCCTCTCTCTATGAAGCTCTCTCGCCAACGGCCCGTCGCCCAACATCCAGGGCGGCGGAGAGATCTTCTCACCCCACACAGCTGCGATAATTTCATATGAGAAGTGCGGTCCTCGCAACGGTTTTTCCTTCTGCATCTGCATGTAAGGATGCGAAAAGTTTTCAACTTTCAACCAGCTGAGGACTTGATTTTTGCAAGAGTTCAAAATCCGAGATACTTTTCCCTTCATTAGCACTCCAGATTCCGAGACTTCGGAGATAAGGCATGCCGTCTTGCAGTTGAAGCTAAACTTGAAATAGACCGCATCTCACATGGACAACTTCCATTTCCATGTCGCAGCCGCTAAAAAAATCCCGTTCCCCAGAGACCCCCAAGAGAGGTTGGGGAAAGGGTCAGACATGCAACCAAATGAGGATAGGCAAAAAGAAGAAAAAGAGGTTCCGCTAACTCCCAGACTAACTCCCAGACTTGAAGACAACCATTATTGGACGCCAGATGTTATCAGATCATGCCCAGTCAGCCACTATCAGACGTCGAGACAGCTTGCCAATGGTCGAGACTTTTCGAAAAGCGCAAAGAACATCACAAATGCGAAGAAGCGAAACACCCATCGATGCCCAAAAACCTTATAAGAAAACGCCCTGCCAACTCATACAATGCGCGGGTAGAACAATCATCTCGTTAGTCAAGATTTGACAACTTTATATTAGTTCCAGACTACTGGAAGGATGCCCACTCCATTTGCAAACATACCAAACGCTCGACCAAGTCCCACCCAATATGCCTGTTCCCAATGGACTCCGATGAAATTCCAAGTCGCGGAATATCAAGAACTCCCTATACATCCCATTATCCAGACAGCTTTCGCGCTTCCATCCCAGCCCTGCTCGAGAGCGTCATGAAATCCGCGGCGCCTTCAAAACCGCACAACCGCCATCTCATGCGTACTGCATATTCTGCGGTTTCGGCGGCTGACCTTCTTGAGGACCTCCGCCTCCCCAGCCCTGAGGTGGTCCTCCTTGGGGATTATTCTGTAAAGGCACCCCTCCACCTCCTCCGCCATTTGCCTGGGCTATAACATCTTGTCGGTTTGGAAGTGGTTGTGCGAATCGGCAGATGGAGCAAACGACATCTTCGTGACCGTGAATGCTGAGAGGAATTACGGGAATGAAACAGAAGGTGAACCAGGGGTTGCGCTTAATAACCTTTGCTGAGTAGTTGCCCTGTATCGCATTCTCGCATCAGTTGGTTTTCCAATAGGCTCCTCCGATACGATCGCAAACGCAGAGATGTGGACTTACGCAGTTGTGACATTGGCAGACGACGTTCTCGTATCCTTGAAGTTGTTTGGAGAATTCTAGAAGTTTACGTTAGTTTCGTTCGTACAAAGTTGGGTGAGAGTGGCAAGCGCAAGGGGAGGCGGAACCTTACCGGTCTCTCCGCAAGTAAATATGAAGCACATCCTGGATTGCTACCCGCAATGGTGTTGTGTTGTTCAGATGAGCCGTTTTGTAGTATCAGTCGAATTCCGAGGTACGTTTTTGAAGAGTGTTGGGTCGGATTATTGGAATTGCGTGTTGGAGGAAGGATGATCTTTAGTACCAGCACTCTACTCGACTACGTATTTAGAATTGCCCACTGGCAAATGCTGGGCTCATCGTCACCTCTGGGGCTGTGTCAGACCCCGGCTCTTGGTGGAGCCACCGGCACGTGCACAGCACGTGATTTAACTGCGTCTTCTTAGCGTGCGCGAAGCGCACTTTCAACTATTTGAGCTCTGCGATCTGAACTTTTCCTACCTTTCCTTCTCCAAGCGTCGTCCTCACCAACGCTGCGTTTCTATGCTACACACAGATATGTCGCTTGACCTCTCGGGGTCGCGACTAATCATCACCACGATGCTTGCATCGCGATGACCTTCATGCATATGAGAAATTCGGAGTACTCTTCAATCTACCTTCCTCTTTACCCCCACTAGGGAAAGTGACAGGTCTGCCCGCGAGGGTTCGGCGTGATCTCACGTCTGCAATTGGCATCAGAAAAGCAGGGCTGGTCACCTACTACATATCTGCTCGCAGAGAAAAGTTGTGTGTGCTATGTTCCTATGGGAGGGCCGTTGCGAAGATTGTGTGGGCTACGGCTCGACACTTAAGTGCAATACGCAGCGTGCTGGTTTGCTTGGTCACTTCGGTGGCCCTGCGACTTGGTACAATTCGATTCCGATTACTCTGTTGGGGACGACGCTTCACCCATCTCTTTTTAAGAGGTAAGACAGTCAATTCTTGTGTGCGCAATTGGAGAAAGGATACTGCTAATTAAGTTGTGACTCAACAATACCAGGACAGAATTTCCCACCCACGACCTTCCGCCAGCCCGACAACTCAATTCACGACCGAAGACCATCGCTCAGGCAGATCGCGCAAGCTTCAGATGCTCCATATCGACCCAGCTTTTCCATCTGCGAAGGTAAGGTCAACCACAAATTTATAACTCCCCGGCCCTCGAAGGTGAGGTCGACTACAATACCGATCCCTACCTCACCCCACCATCCCTCCAGCCCCTCGCACCTCAACTTTCTTCCTCCAAGTTTTTGGACTTGTACAAATCTTTTACTCGCTCACTATCGGGGTTCACCAATTCTTTCAGAGAATTTAATTCCCGAGTGAGTGCCTCGCATGCGTCTGGTGACAACGCTGCCCATTCCATGAGCTCCTTCGTCTGATCAAACGCGAGAGACACCTTTTCTCGAAAATGCTTCGCTGGATCGACTAGGGCACCGCTGTTGGGATCTTTGGCTCTCGTCCATGCCAGGTCAATGAACTCAAGAACCTCCTTCGCTGAGCGCATCAAGCTTCTCTTCGTATCCTCAAACTTCTTGCAGAACTTTGGTGCATGATTTTGAGAAGTATCCGCACCCTGATTCACATCGTCTCCTTGTCTTTTCTCCATCACCCTCTCTGTCCAGATTGCGTTCAGATTAGGTTTCGAGAGGTAGGTCATTTGACTGATCTCTTGATCGAATTGTTGCTTGAAGCTTTGGTAGAACTCAGCTGCCTGGCCTACTTCGCGATGAAAAGTACCCATAGCATGGATCAATGACGGGTTGTCCCTATGGATAGTTTGACTTGTTCCAAAGTGGTACATGGCTCGTACTTGTGGTACAATGCGCTCCAACGCCCTCTTGTCGATTGGCTTTCGGGTCTCGAGGTTGGTGGGATAGGTTTGCAATGGATTAGTACGCAAGTCTTCAAACCCACGCCCAAGGGTAAACTTCCAATTGGGGCCTTGGATCTGCTGGAGAGTAATATCGAACTTTTCCTTGTCAGGACGATGACTTCGCGGCATACTGCCTCAGCTGCTCACCATACCTGGTCTCGATTTCCGTGACAGCTTATTGGAGATAGTAGCCTGAGTTTGTTGGGTCCTGAGATATCATTCCTGCTATTAGAAACCCCCATTGCCTTATGTAGATTTAGTCTTCTTCCGTAGCCAATGAACCTTTTGTCCTGTAAACAAAAACAAACACTGATCACTAGCAAAGAAGTGCGAAGCTCCATTGCAGATCCTCATGTGATGAAGGCACATGTATTTCTTTATTTATGCTGTTGGCAGGCTATCAAACAATATGCCAGCCTTCCAACTGATTTCTGTCTTACAATACAGTTGATGGTCACCATTAGATGCAGGTGCCTACGAAGTTTCCGTTTGTTGGAAACTTCCTGAAAATGAGCCTGAAGCAGGTACAATTCCCTTCACGCCTTCCATTCTATCTACCTATCCTAGGGAAAAAATGATTTTCTTCTGTGTTGTACCTTCTTCAGCGGCCTGTGGGATGTTGCACGGGAGCTACCCCGCTGGATTGGAGTGACCTTGAGCTACCTAGGTACATAAGTACCCCACTTTTTTCAGGTAAGGTGATTTGTCAATGGAGGAAGGGAAGGGACGAACCCCTCATGAGGTCATGTTGGTATGATGTGCTATCCATCGTACCTTCCCATCCCGATCATCTAGCTTTGCACCCTCGTACTTCTTGCTTGCTCCTTGAACTGAGGCTCGTTCTTGTCGGATTCTTTTGTTGTTAAAGGAAAAGGGGTGAAGTGGGGGATATAGGTACTTGGATTCACGAGTTTATGGGCTCACAGGTTCATAAGTTCGCAGCGAAATGGCTGGATTCCCACCACAGAGTATTAGGGGCGTTGTGGGAGAGGTGATGGGGTTGTTGAAGGGGAGGGGGGAGAGTGTTTGTGTGGCTGAGACTGTGAGTTCTTTTCTTCTTTTTTGGGGGGTCTTTGGATCTTCTTTGGGGTAAGACTTATTGTTTGCCTGGATGTGGAGGCTTGGTGTTTCTTTTGTTTGGGTGTCTAGCTGGTTTGTGTGATGATGTGTTGTTCATTTGTGGTTTCTGGTTTGGTCTGGATGTTTGATGTTTTGAGATTTCCTGTTTGGTGTAGGAATTTGTTTTGTTTGCGAGGGGTTGATGAGCTGCGGGACTTTGGATTGGGATACTATGGATGGATGGGATAGAGGTGTTGGGTTGAGGTTTGATGGGATGAGATAGGAGTGCTGATGAAGTCTTCATATAGGCAGCTGGTGGTATCATCTCAGCCAGTATCCTGAGTACACCTGGTGCTAGTAAATTGTATAAAGGTGGTGCCACTGTATGAATTACCACCTCCCCCCATTCTCCCCTACAACTAACGGAAAACTAGCTATATACATTAGAATCTCGGGCTGCTTTTGGTGAGTATTCCTCCTTTTTCATTCTATCTCCATGTCCCCCTCTTCTTCCTCCTCCTCTATATTCTTTGGAAAACTCAAAGAAGATTCGGATGTTGATAATAAAAACAGCCGGTTGGACAGAAGAGATGACAACCAACTACCGCGGTCCCACCCCCGACGTCGTCTCCTTCCTCGCAAAGAATGTCCGCGCGAAACTCGGTGGTACGTATTGTATCTGTGAATCTGGGACTGCGGGACCGACGGGTGGGAATACGCCTAATAGGACGCCGTAAGTAATCGTCTACTTTCCTTTGCTCCCCTCTTCTTCCTTGATGCTCGTGCTGCTCTCCCTCCACTCCCTACTTTCCCTTCTTTTCCTACTATTTTTATCTGGGGAAAGAAAATCGACACTTGGGCAAGGAAATGGAAGGGAGCTTGTTCTGAGATGCAAAATAGGGGATACGTAGCCCTCGCCATCGCCACCGAAAATGGGGTTTTCACCAAGGAACTTGATACGGGACTCGGCGGGGATAGAGAGGGGAATATGATTGCGTTTGCGAGGGAGGCGTTGGGATTTTTGAGGGAGGTTATTAAGGGGGAGGCGAAGTTGTGAGGTTTGAGTTGAGAGGGAGAGGGAGAGGGTGAAGGGTTGGAGGGTTGGAGGGAAAGTGAATGGGGGTTGGTTGTGAGGGGGTGGTGTTTCGTGTGTAGGTGGTTCTTTAGAGGGCATGGTCGTTGATGATTTTTGGTTGGTTGAATATTAATCTATGGCTGAATAGGAAGTACCCACCTAAGTAATCGATCAATCAAGCATGACCTGTTTACTACTTTACCATACTTTTCTATTAGGCATTTAAGGATTCGTAGGAATGCAATGCTACCTAGTTTCATAGATACCTAGATAGGATTTCTAATACGGATAGTAGGGATTATTAAGTGCGTAACTTTCTTATATATCTATAATACTATATTTACCTCGAGAAGTATACTATAATATACTATATGTACTTATAACGCGCATAGACTAAACATAGAATATGAGGATTCTAGATATATTACCCTACCCAGTTATCTTTCTTTCTCGTATATTTAAAGTCTTATAACGGTTAGTTGTTGTATATATAGTAGTAAGTAAGTATATCTAGTTAATTAATAATTGAACTAGCTAAAGTAAAACCATTTTAGGTAAGTTATAAAGGGTTAGAGGAATTTACTTAGTACTTAATATTGAAGTAAGTAGGAGTAAAGAGATAGCTCTTGCGATTTACGTGCTGTACCTTTCCAGTTAAAGTTATATAAAATTATTTATTTCCAATGAATCTTACACTTAAAGAAGCATGTTTTCATTTGAGTGGATACAGAAAAGAATCAGCCGAAGATTCAGATCAAAAAGACTGCGTTTGAAGTACTGAATCAAGACTTGTATTCTTAGACAATTCGATTGTTTTCCATCCCTCGGGATGAGACAACGACTGTGAACAATAGTCAAGAACTCGACTACGGTGGATATAACTTCCAGTTTTTTGTCATTACAATCCGCACCATCCGAGTACGACTCTCGCGAAAACAAAATGAGCAACTTCCACCGTAACCTCCCAAGTGACATCCAACCTCGTTTCCGGTACGGTCGAGCCCTCAAGGACTCAAGTTTCGAGCGCTGGGTCGAAGACGAAAAGTTTAAGGCCAAAAAGAGGAGGTCCGATCATCCCGCGAAGCTATCCATCACTGATACGGGAGACGCAATCGAGTTTACGGGCCTCATGATTTGTGGGCATAGCCCGATCGATCTTGCGAGTCTGCTTGATAGCTATTTTGCTCGACAGGATTACATTGGCAGACTTGGCTTGCGTTCTCGAAAATCAAACCTCTCACCGATGCAGCACGAGGCTATTCGGGATTTTCAGGCCACGACCGAAGCTTTTCTTACAGGTGGTCGAACACTTGATGATGGAACGATGTTGGAAGTTTATTTCCGCATATTTGATAACCTTTTTTTCAACGGGACACTGGAGAACCTTTGCTCGGTCTCTCTTACTCGAAATCAACATTTCGTACCTCTTGGCCAAATAGGACCCCCTAAGACAACTTCACAATTCGCTATGGGCATCGAGATTAGAGATCTCCTTGCATTTCCTCGCCGCTGGGAAGTATTTCCCCTCAGGGAATGGTTGGCAAGTTATATTGAAACACTCCTTCATGAGATGCTTCACGCTTTCTTCATGATTTACTCATGTCCATGCACTTCCTGCAATGTTACCAATAAGTCGGCCCAGGGACTTGGCTTGGCTGGTCATGGAGAGAGTTGGCTACGGGCTGCTCTGCAGTTGGAACTCGCTGCGAAGACACTTCTCCGTGTTCACCTTCTCTCTGGTCTGTTTTCTTTCGGTCGTACGGAATCGGCGGAATTTGACACTGCGCTCTCGCTGTGTTTTCCTCGGGGTCCTTCGGAGGATTTAGTGCAGGGAATTTCGCAAATCAGCCTGCAGGATGGATAGTTAGTTGAGTTTAACATTGCCAGTCCTTGATTGGATAGATTATTACACAAGTAGTCTCCCCCTCCCATACTATAAGTGTGTGATTGTTTTGAAGACTCCACAAATGCTAACTTCAAAACTCGCACGGATAAGCGAGAAAGAATTAGACACTTCTCTGGCAAAGATTCCAAAGAACATACCTTATCTTGGCAAGTTGGCATTCAACTTTCATTGGTAATCCTAAACCAATTCCCTTTCTCATGATATAAATTTAGAATGACTTACCAATAGACTTGGATTTTACTTCTGAAAAAGACTTATATGATGGCACTATTAACAGGTTAACCTGATTTTGAGTTGGTGAGTAGTACCTTCTCAGCAAGTTGGCTAAATTAGAGGTCTATGTTATTAATACAAAAATTTCGTTTTACAATCCAAAAACGTTGACGGGTGTAAACTAAAGCTAGCAGGCCAATACTTTGTAATAGAATTCACTTTGATCGACAAGGAGAGCGACTGAAGTGAAGCATTAATGGAGATTCAACCGACCGACAAATTATGACTCCAATCATTGCTGGATGCAATCAAAAAGAAGAAAAGTATTTGATGCACTTACTTTGTATTGTTTTTGGTGGGTCCCTTGCACAATGCGCCAATTCAACTTAATCTTAGACTATCAAGAGTTCTGTGATATCTTCCTGCTACTTCGTTGGGACCCTTCTCTTGTACAAATTCAGTCACCAGGATTGTTCGTTTACCATCAATTTTTGCAGAGTGGGAGCTGGCTATCTATATATGATCGTCATTGAAACTACCAGGTCTCAATCATTAGATATAACTCAAGATTTCTGTTATTGGCCAATACAATACTCATCTGAGCTATTCGAGACTTCTAAAAAGATACCCCGAGAGTAGTTCTCAACGTGTAGGCCATGACATTGGTGACCTTCTGCATCCTACGTAATGATAAACATCATGAGTCGGGGTAAGCCTCTGGAATCAAACCTGAAAAGAATAGCGAGCTCATTCTAGAAGGCAATCGTTGTGCGACACAAAACTTGAGACACTGCATTGTATTGTTGTGGTCCAAGCTCATCATGGGAGGAGTTGCGTCAAGTCGATTGTTGAGAAACAAGCCAGAGCAAATGCCTTGAACACTCTTTTCATCACTTGCTCGTCGACCAACAACATAAAGTCTCAAAGGTGTAATATTAGGTAGCAATTGGAAGCAAGATGGCTTTGGGAAGGTTGAATAACAGTGGGTTCGCTCTGACTGCTGTAGAGGTCGCTCCTTCACTCTCCTTTCACCACGAGTTAGTCTCGCCTCGCTTGCATTAACCTACCTACCTTGTTTCCTTGTGTTGACTATAGCTTTTGAGGAGAAAGGCAGGTATGCTTCTATCGCGGTTCAAATTTAATCCCGAAACTTGAGATTTTCGAGGCCTAGGAGAATCACGATTTATGACTGCGCTCTCAGAACACTGCTATCTGAAGTTCTGATATCGCCATACCTTTTCTGCTCCATTCTGTTGTTGCTTTTTCAGACTGCTGTCCAGAGACAGGGATTTCAATTCACTATTATTGGGCAAGATTTTCCATATTTTTTGGACAAAACATTCGTTATATGGTACATCGTATTTCGAACAGAGTTTCTCTGCAACATGTATTTCACCGTTCATACTTCTACACGTGACTATTTGGTGTAACGTCCAACATGCTGATTCCAACTCGAACCAACACTTCACTTCCTTGCTTTAGGACTCAATTTCCCCTTGCGGGCACTTCAAACTCTTTTCAAGTAAAAACAATCATAACCGTGACCTGGACACACACTCCTCGGGCCGCCGTTCTTCTCTGTATTGTCTTTACATTCCCCTTCACGATCTGGGATTCACTTTACATTTTTCTACGTCCCCATACTCTCCTAGGTCACAAATGGCACTCTCCCATTTGGGACCCCATCGACTCGTACGCTGCGGTTAACAAGACTTACAGCAAAGAAGCATGGCTAGAAAACGAGGGGTGGACAGCTGCTCAGGGTGTAATCAACATGACTGAAGTCGCCATTTACTTGTGGTATTTCTGGGTTCTCAAAACTCAAGGAGAAAGAATGCGTGTTGGTGGAAGAGCCGGGGGTCAGGCATGTGTGCTGGGGCTCATTGGTGGAACTGTCACGCTTACGAAATCGTCGCTTTATTGTAAGTTGGCATTTGGTGATAGGAGTTTTTGTTGCTATACTGATAGGGTATATAGGGATGAGAGAGTGTTTCTCGGGATTTAAATATGTTGGTCATGCAGATTGGGTACCGCTTTTGTCTACCTGGGGTTTTATGAAGTAAGTCTTGCTGCGACCTGCTCGCGAATATGTTTTGTGGGTTACTTATTTTGCTAACTGGTGATATCTTTGTTTAGCGTGGTATATTGTGCTGCCTCAAGTTATATGATCTTCACATTCGCGAAAGATATTATCAAGGGTCTTTCACATATGTAGGAAAGCAGTAAGAGAAGCGGAAAAGCGAGGAAGAGGGCTTAAACTATCGATGTTCTTTCTAAGATCAAACTCTTGTGTTTTATTTCGAAAAATTTTACAGTTAAAGGGGGACGATTTCAATGTTAAATTCGAATTCGATGTGATAGAAGAGAAGCTTCAATATGAAGCGATCTGACTTCAAATCAAGACCTCAACGGTGTATAATACTTCACTTCTGCAAGATTCGATCGAAGAGAGGGACGAGGTTTGGGAATTCTTTAGTATGTAACTTCGACGGACAAAGTCTCTGGGCTTGAGTTATAACAAGGGAATGAAGTGAAGATCACAGGAAGTTATATCAGATGGATGGTATTTGAAATGGTATTCTTAATTGATTCTTGATCGGGTTGTGCCTGCCGTCCCTCCCATTTCTCCCACAATCCTTCAAAGAAATCGCTCACAATAAAAGTAGCCCTTAGACCTTCTTGCATGGAACATCTGTTGGAGTCTTTGTGGGACTAATTGTCGAATTATATAACCTCATACTCCCCGAATGTGGTGTCAATCCAGGCTTTCCGTCGGTCTTCAAGATCGTAAACTCCGCCACACCATTAACTTCCGAGCAAGCTGTATTTGTGGTTTGGAGAACATAATCCGCTCGGTAAATCTTTGACTCTGGTGTATCCTTGACAACGCTAGCATTGTTTACAATGTGTAACAAGGACTTATCTCCAAGAATGGGAAGCTGTCTTTGCTTCATACTAATTATGAAAAACGAGCCTGGGAAGGCTTCACCACCTAGGATGACAGATTCTGTACCGTCCTTTGTCCAGAAATCGGCGTATGTATCAGTAGCTTTCTTGTCTTCGGTGGTTTTGTAGAATCTGGGTATGTTAGTAAATGTTTTCCCTTGAGTGAAGCTTACGGCCAAGACATACGTCGCCAAGTATTTTGAACCCTTGGCATTATCACTTGAGAGAGGTGGTAATTGGTGTATTTGGTGGGAGGTGAGACTTACTCTTCGAGGAAACCTTTGAACTCAGGCTCGACGTCGGCATCTTGCACATAGGAATTCATCTCGACTGCCTGGGCTGCAGCGAAAAGCAACGCGAGGACGGGTATGACGGACTTCATGATGAATATAAGCGATAGAATAGAATAGTCTCAGACTGAAATAACAAAAAAGTAAAGTAAATATTTTATAAAAAGAGTGGTTGGTGATGAAAGAAATGATTCCAGGGGAAAGCTTGTATCCTAACCGTCGGCCTCTACTTATATAATATTGTCTCTCTTATTTGGTATTCGTATCATTTTCCAGGGACATTCCTGAAACAGGGATGAAAATAGCTTAAAGTTTAAATTATATGAAGTGGTTCGTCCAATGATAGATATTATCTCACGGGATCTCCAAACCCCAAGCCTTTAACCTCCAGCTTAGTGGATCGGCCTGTTTACGAACGACGATCCGTACAGCTTGGCATCCCATCTTCTGTCTGCAATGTTGCCGAAGTTCTTGAAAGTGTCGGATATTTCTTACCTTTATCGTAAATCTGATTTTTTTTGTGTTGTATACTGATTCAATCTCAACCGGCTCGTGCGAGGCACTGAAGCTCTGGCTACTACACGATGGCATTTTACAGGAAAAGCTCGATGCATGGATATTGGCAGGATTATATTTCTTTATGATATAACTCAGCTTGTTCATTACTTCATGAACATGTTCCTGAAGTAATCTCAGAGGTGCAAAAACCGAGTTCGAATTACATCGAGAAGATATTGTGGACGAAGTGATTTACTATCAGTATTATCAAGTAAAAGCGTGTTCACGTCTAGATAGCCATCATGGCCATAGGCACTATCAAGTGAAGCTTTGCATCCACAGGTTTCCCCATTGACTTCAATTCATTCATTCTCCCCTTGATAAAATGCCCGATCTAGCGATGGGTGCTATATTGTCTTCATATATAGCGACAGGCAAGTAAAAAGAAGTTCGGAATTTCCAGAAGCATTGCCTGCCTATAATACTTTAGAGGGGGAAATAACTTCTAGTATTGTAGTGGCTTTGGATGGGAAGCAGCTAGAAGAATTTACATGATTAAGAAGCTTACTAATCACTATATAAATAATGCTTTGATGAGCTCCTTACCCCCCACTTGCTGGGAACTATAAAGTATTTTTCGTTTGCCTATGTAATAAATCTATGCGAAGGTTAGAAGCTGTCTCTTTATCTAAGTCTACATGACCTCTACACTGGAGTTTGGTAGGGAGGAGTTTGTGCGTTTATGTATAGGCCTGTCCAGAAGGTCGTCAAAGGCATAAGCCCCTTTTTCCAAAAGTGAAGCGATATTTCGCTTATAAAATATTAATATAATAATTGTGGGATGTATGTATTTTAAACTCAATTGACTATAAGGGAACTACACTATATTTTTTCCTAAGGCGGGCTGCAGAGAATTCGGAAATGGCGCTAAGAAGTACTACGGTCGGTTGCGTAGAAAACACGAAAAGCTCGCGTAAATGGATTGTAAACAACGCTGCCGACTTCTCATCTTGTCATTTTGTCGGTTTGTCGCCCTATTGAACCTACCAAAGAACACAAGTAAACACAATCAAGAGAGACTAAATGCCAGTCAAAATGCAGCAATCGCAGCGCACTAACAACTCGCGCCGACCACCACCACCAACACCAACAGCAAGCTACCGACCAATCCATTCCACCACCCAGGTGGCCAGAATTCCCCTCTCTGCCACAGTGGATGGTTACCAGAACGAGGGCTACTTGCCTACTCGCCTCCGCCAACCACCCGCCAAGAAGGAAAAGGATGTTGGTGCTGGGAAGAGTTCGTGGTTCAAGCGAACTCTTGGGAGATTGTAAGAATTACCTATCTCTATATGAGCCCTTCAACACTTACTAAGATCCACAACAGGCGGTCTCTCGGGACATTTGGAGTGAAGTCTGATCCAAATGTCCCCCCAGCGCCAACTCCTGCTCCTGCGCCTGCTGTCCCCGGCCCGTCTCCTCCTTTTCGCCCCGACCAAGTTCTCCTCCCAATCCCAGATTTGGAGCAAGAGGCAGAAGAAAGAGCAGTACCACCAACTCCGCGGAACTCCCTCGCCTCTTTCTCGCTCTCCCGAATGTCGGTGGAGACACCAAGACCAGAGAATGAGGATTTCGCGGTCGCCTCTGACCGGGTAAAGGCACTCCGTGTTCTGGAGGGGGATGTACCAAGGAGGGTCGTGGAGCATTGGGAGGCGGACGTTAAGAGGGTGCTAGGGGCGGGTGCTGTTGCGAGGTTTGGAAGATAGGGGTAGAATGGGGTTGTTTGGTGGCTTGTTTTTGTGGTCTTTAGTAGTGTTTTTAGGGAACAGAGGGAGGAGATAATAATAAAACGCTTTTTTATAAAACTATACTTTGGGGAGAGGTATATTGTAAATGGAAAATTGTAGTTCGGGTATTAGATTCTGTAAAGTAATATTCTTCTATACCTTTAAACTATATTATTGTGTAAGGTTTATAGGTAAAAATAAGTTATAGAAAGCTTCTTACTCGAAGTATATTCATATATATAGCTCTAACGAGAGTAAACTGATTTTATTATAGAGAAATTAGTTATATCTTATAATTATATTAAGTAAAATAAAATAATATTAATACGCGAATACTTAAATAATAGATAAATATAAGCGATTTAGTTAGTTTAGAAAGTTAAATAATTAAAAATAATAATATTTCTAACGCGAATATTATTTAAGTATAGTATTTTTAAATCTTTAATATTTTAATAAGTTAATAGAATTTAGTTAAGATAGATATTAAGTATAGCGCTCTGTCACGAATCACGTGTTCACGTGATAAGAGAAGACCAGGCGGCGTCCTGAAAGGTCAAGCACTATCAGTACTCTTATAGCAAATAGGGACGCTTGGGCTAGCTAAGCGATCCAGGGATTTCATTCGGTTAGTATCACGTGACAGGGTCACATGATTGTTGGAGCTTGCAGGAGCTTGCGTTGGAGCTTGAGGATCTTGGGCTCCCCGTAGGCTCCACGAGAACGAAGGTTCTATATAAGACTGGCACTTCTGCCATTAGATAGGAGCTTCGTGCTCAACTTAGTTATCAATCTTATCATATCAGTTTGACATCTTTGATACAAGTAACGAGTTCACTTCCAAGTGAACAACCCGATAGTCTTCTTCTTATCATAGCATACCAACCAGCGAACACCCAGCCAAGTTTAGTTAGCCAGTTTGAGTATTCGTTACACGCTCGGTAACTAGAATTCTATTCTATTCTATACCCCCTATTCTACTAGAATTCTATAGAACTAAATTATATAACCGGGATAAAAGTCTTTCCGCTCCGTTAACTAATAGGAAACCTAGATTATACTCGGACGTATAAGGCCGGTTAACTAATAGATAGCTTACGTTACCCTCTCCCCTATATACGACTTATTACTTGTAGGAAGGGTATAACTCTCTAATATAACTCGCTAAGCTAATTAAATTATCCGATTTAGGTAGAGTAAAGGTATATTAGAAAGTAATAAGTAGGGGGGAGGGTCTCTAGACCCTTTAAAGTTCTAAAATACTAAGTAAATAGAGCCTAATTAATATTTACTCCTCTTAAATACTTCTCTCTAATTAGTTAGAATAATAACCTGTAGAATTCTAGAGCCTTCTTAATTTTAATAGAATATTCTATTCTATTTTAAAGGTACTCTAGAAGGAATATTCTATTCTATTCTATCTGGAATTCCATGGAATAGGTTCTATTTGCCGAGCGCTGATTAGTTTGTACCTTTGCTTCGTCCTAGGCACAATGATTGTAGCTTTTACGGGGGGTTCTCCCTGTCCTCCACTAAAGCCACCCTAGTAAACCTACAATGATTAATTTGGGATACCTGTGACAGACGTGCTTCAGGTAGAACTCAGAACAATTAACACTCTATTCTTAGGACAAAAGACGAGGAAAGAAGGAGAGCTCGAGAGAGCTGGGAACTAAATACAGGTCGTGCGCGCTAGCGCCTCGCTAAGCGAGCATGTGACATCCAGCCCTCGTGACCATAACCGTCACATCACCCCCCCCTTTAAAAAGAGCTCGCCCCGAGCGTTGAAAATCTGAACTAATTGTGAAAAATACCCTTTTGCCAGGCATCTGGATGGTCAGGATCGTCCGAATCTACCTCCGCGCTATCGTAAGCATTGTCGTTCATAGCTGCTATTACTACTCTGCCTGGTCTTGCAATCTGCTTTCGTACTGGCTTTGGGAATGCCTCCCCAGCTGGTAGATCCCCCAAATCTATGGCTGATTTCCTTCCTTGTGGTCCTGGTGAGAAAGGACGGAGTATGCAATCGTTGACCCAGTGTTCCAAGGAGCCACATCGTACACACCTGCCTTCAGCTCTATATTGATCTCTACGCTCAGGGGAAATAGAGCGAGCGCGTGGAGGAGAGGATGGGTCGATGGAATTGATGCTAAAAGCATTTATGTCCATTGGTTCGCTGTGGTGGTTGCCAGAGGAGTAGGACTGTGTAGGTTGTGTAGACGAAGAGAAGCGGCCTGCTAATTGTTGTACGACGCGTATGAATGTAGTATAATCGCGAGGTAGGTTGAGTTGTTGAGAAAGTCGTCCGCGAAGAGTAGAATTAAGGCCATTCCTAAAGGTGGAAATTTTGTTGACATCTGGCCAGTCCTGACCTCTTGCTTCGTAAAGGACACGCTCAAACTTGGCGATATATGTAGGGACTGAGTCAGCACCTTGCTTGAGGGCAAATAGCTTGTCTTCCGCCTCCTGTACCTTGTTTGGATTGTCGTACACGCGCGCGAGCTGTTCGAGGATTGTTTGGTAGTCCCAGCTTTGGGTGTCTTCTGCTTGAGAGAGCTGTGGAAGGACCATGGCTTGGACGTGGGAGTCAAGGTTGAGGTAGACGTAGTAGAACTGCGCAATAGCGTCTCCAATAGCTGTACCGTCGACTCGTAGCTTTGCTTTGATTGAGGGAAGCCAGGTGTCGAATTTATGAGCCTGGCCAGTGAATTTGTCAGGGTCTGGGAGGGAAGGTTTAGGCTTTGCGGATGTTCTTGACCGGAGTAAGTGAATCTCGTCGCGCTGTCGCTGGACTTCAGCTTGCAACTCAGCGATGGCGGACTGAACTTGAAGGGCATCCATTGTAGAGAAGTCGAAAAAAGAAGAGGTTTCGTCGTGTTGTAAAGTGTAGGGTTCTTGCGCACAAGAAAGTGGTAGAAATCGTGAGAATTGAGACGTAAGATCGTGGACCTGAACTTGGACGTGAACGTGAACTTAGACCTGGGATACTTAGCCTCAACTAAGGGTCTTTTGTAATGTGACAGACGTGCTTCAGGTAGAACTCAGAACAATTAACACTCTATTCTTAGGACAAAAGACGAGGAAAGAAGGAGAGCTCGAGAGAGCTGGGAACTAAATACAGGTCGTGCGCGCTAGCGCCTCGCTAAGCGAGCATGTGACATCCAGCCCTCGTGACCATAACCGTCACAATACCCCTTGGTGCCCCTGTCGAACCTTGGCCCATCGTGCCACAAGTATAAAAGGCACAAGATGCCCCTCCTTCTTCACTGCAAATAATCAACCAAACAATCTATCAGAAGCCTTCTCAAAACCGATCTACTACTAGTACGACAAAATCCTCCTGTATTACTATCCTAATATGAGATTCTTCACCCTTGTTGTGTCCCTTAGCCTAGCTTCCGTCAGCATCGCTTCCGTTAGTATCGCAGCAGCCGTTCCCGCAGCTGAAGGGTTATTAGCGAGACGAGAGACGCCGTTACCCTTCTCACAATGTGCGGGCGTTTGTCGTGGAAAGGTCCGTAGATATTTTTACTATTACAGCCACTAAATAATTGCTAACTTTCGTTTAAATGTAGCCGGTTACAAGATGCGTTAGAACGGATATTGGTATTTGCTACGAGTGCGGAGCATGATTTGGGAGAAGAGGGATACTATGGAGGGTATTTGGGGAACCGTAGGCTAGAAGGCCTGGGTAGTATGTACCTTATATTACAATGTTGAATGAATTAAAGCCATAAGCTATAGCTGACATACGAAAATGCTTTTGTGAAGTTGTGAATGTATAGTACTTTCAAAGGGCCCGCTATATCTATCTCTTCCAGCGCTGAGTGAAAACCCGAAAACAGTGGTCTTTCTGAAAACTACTCCGAGAGTAGCTTTCAACCATGTTCAAAGGACGCTTATAGCCTTCCATAGTAACGACAAATAACTCGATTATAGAATCTTGCCGTATATCTGGCTGCCCAGGATACCCACAGAAGTCCGTGTGCCGTCAAAACTTTGACAGAAAAGTGGAGAGAAGGATTAGGATGAAAGAGCGTAGATACCGCGTGAACCCAGTCCTAATGGCTAGCTGCCAGCTCAGCACCAACAAGTACTATAACGTACGGTCGTGGATTTATTTGGTATATTTTAGGGGGCCCTCAGTCAATCAAAGCAAGACCCTAGAGAAAAGTTGGATAGGCGTAGTAGTACAAACTATGAAGATTCAAAGCTGCTGGGGATGTTTTGAGCTTTATATATATAACAACAACCGAATTCCGGGAATATTGTAAGTTAACAATGTGGTTACAGCCAAATTCCATTCCGCACAGAACCAGCACAAAGATATCCGATAGCTGCTTGTATAAGTGAGTCAGACTGATGGTGTCAAATAAAATATATCAAAGCTTCGTGAGGAAGCAGAGAAACAGTGAAATAAGTTCAGATGACAGTTACTGTATCGCTATAACTGATGAGCAGGTAAAGAAACTACAATAGTGTTTCGTATAGTAAAAGGAATCCGTTTTGGATTTCGGTTGTTAAGAAGGATAGAAGTAAGAATTTAATGTTTTAATGTTTTAAAGCATAGAGTTTTTTAGTAAGCGTCTTACGGATTCTTTAAAGAATGTTATAGTAGAAGCTAAAGTTAGATAGGGAACTAGAAGAAATCAAAACCGTGTTTATTACTACTGAATACAAGGGTATACGCTAACTTAATTATAACGGGAGAATATTAAGAAGTGGTGTTCTTATCGAGTTATCGTACTTTTAATCTATAATAGCTTACGTTAAAGCTTAGTGCATAGAGTTAGGCCCCAATATATCTATATAATATCAGTGGAATACTTAATATCTATAGTATCTAAAATATATTAATAATATAATTCTAGATTCTCGGTAATAATTAATATAATACCGATTATTAGTATATTATATCTAACGTAGAAAAGCTATAAATCCGTTCTAGAACTAATTAAAGTGCTTTCCTTTAACTTCTA